CCCTACATAAACAAAATCACCACTAGGCAGAGCACCCCCTCACGGCAGGAACTTCACTGGTACAATGGCAATATCTGACGACAAGATATAAATTCTCATGAAGGGCGTTCAAGATTGATTGTACAATTTTTGTTGTTCAACGTCCCTATCAAGAATTTTTCACTCCTCTGGAGACCCCATTACTTGCTGGTGGAGGGCTGCTAATTTTGTCTTATACATGATAACATTTCCAAAATTCTGAAATACAATTCCCCATTAACCCTTAAGATTTTTTAGCAGTTTTGATGCTGAGTGACAGGTTTTCACAATGGGGACACTAGCTATTAGATTTCCTCCCCAGCTCTGTAATGACTGTCTTCTCCAGATTTATTTTTTACCAAACTTGAATCTAACTATCTGAGGATGTTTTCGTATCAATTTGTGCAATCATGGCTGTATTCCTATTGAGAGGTTTTGTGAAAAATCTTTGAATTCACAAGTATTCCTATGTAAAACTATGATCCCTCTTCAGCGGTTGCTTCTACCTACCCCCCTGGGATAAAGATTTAAAGAAATGTGAAGCTACACTATTTGAAGAATTTTTCATAAAAGTTTTGTCTCAGTTGTTCAGAATAAAAAAAATCAACACCACATCTCCACTCTTGATTATTTCCACTTAGAAGAGAGTTTACCCCCTCATTTGAAAAAAAAACCTTGAATTCCCTTAACCCAACAATGCTTTGTGGTACATTTGGATGAAATTTGCCCAGTGGTTCTAAATAAGTCATACAAATCTGCAAATGGGAAAATTTTATAAACGGATAGAGACAAAAAATATGTGATCAGAAAATTGAGATGAGCAATAAAAAAAAAACAACAGAAAATCAAACACTTCTTTGTAGAAGAAAAAAATGTTTTAATTTAAATTATCCAACTTCCTAAACATTGTATAAAATTATTGTATATATATAAATATGTTAATAACAAATAATTAAAATGATAGAAAGAGAATTATGGTCTCTAAATATGTAAAATAAAACAGTTACATGTAGCTGCTGAAACACTAATGATGATGAATTATGGCTTTGTCATTCATAAGAAGAAGATTTTTAAACAATTTTTCTATATATTTCTATGTAAAACTTGATTAGGTTGGCCATTTTGGCACCGCCTTTCCCAAGGACACAACGTCGACTTGCCGCGGCCAGGATTCGAACTCACAATCTTTCGGTTTGGAGTCCGGCACCTTAACCACTAGACTACCGACGCCACAAATTATAAGATATCATTTGAAAGATCTTGAAATTCTGCAAAAATTTTGTTCTATATGTTTTAACAAAATATTTTTAGTTAAGAAGATAAAAATAATAATATGTGTAAATTTTCGCTCTTTTAGGCGTTCTAATTTTTTACCACTATATTGCACCATTTTGATTAGAGAAATTGAAAATCAAAAACTGCTATGTACAACTTCAATCCTTCTATTGTGTAAAATCAGTAAAATTTCTGCTCCAGATTCTGTCATCTCAGAGCCTTTGTCTGGAAATGAAAGCCTATAAATTTTTGTTTAAATGGAAATAACTCAAAAGCAGAAGTGAGTTTTTGGAATGCTAGACAAAATTCTGATAGAGTTTAGTAACGTCTATAAACTCTGAAAATTTGAGCAAAATCCATTGAGAAATGAGTGAAATATGAGGCCTCAAACTTGGCGTCTTGGAAAAGGGTAATTTATGTATAAATACTGTACAGTCTTCTGGGTAATATATGTATAAATACTGAACAGTTTACTGGGTAATACATGTATGAATACTGAAGTGTCTACTGGGTAATATATGTATAAACAAATTAGAAGTATTTGTGGTGCAAGCTGTATTGTAATAGTTATCTTTGTAGATGTGTTAGTTAGCCTGGTTGTGCTAGCTGTAGGCTTCCAGTTAGCTACTTTCCATTCACCACCCGTGACCTTCACCGAGTCTAATGGTACCTGTTCATCTTACAGGTAAGTTAATATAATGGAGTATTCTATGTTGAATTCTGTATTATTTAAAAGAAAAGTTTTTCGCCAATCACATTTATTTTTTTATTTTTTGGCATGGCTGACTTATCTTCACTGCTTTAACTTCTGGTTGTTTATTGTTTCAGATGGTGTGAAGACTGCACAAAAAATAAACATTGTGGAATTTGTTACGTTGAACTTGGAAAATCCAGGGTTAATGGCTCATGTGTTGCTATGGCCACCAATCAGACGGACGGGGCTGCGTGGGGGCGCTGTGACTCTGACCCTCGACCCCCCGATGTTGTATGGGCCAGTGATTATTGCCCCACGGACTACTTTTGGATGGGACTCCTGGGTCTAGTTCTGTATCTCATGTTCGACACCCCTGGTAAGACTATAGCATGGTTACAAACTGTAATCCAAGATCACTAAATTTTCGTTACACCTTATTTTCACGAAATAGTCATTAACTCTTTATTGGACTTTTACGCAGTGCCAACTCTTATAGTTGACAGCTTACTTTTACACTAGATCTATGTGCAGTAGCTCTCTTACAATAAAATATTTACCTTTGTCAACCTTTAATTCAACCAAAATAGCGGGTTTATTTCAAAGCCTAAATCAGTTGTTCTTAAAGAAAATGACAATTGCAACCACCCTACCCTCAACTCCCGGTCTTCACATGTGAGTGCCCCTAACAACATTAGGGGCACTACCTATGACCACTAGAAATGTGTTCTTTACCAATGCCGCACCTCCATACATGATGCAGGTTTAAATGTCAAGTAAACTGTCAACTGTGAAATCAGTGCTTCTTGTAAAAGTCCATCAATGAGACAGAATTTTCACTAATTGTTATTTTCATCCATAGAATCGTAAGGAACACTTTAAAACACGGGAAATTGTTATTATCATTGATAGAATCGTAAGGAACACTTTAAAACACGGGAAATTGTTATTATCATTGATAGAATCGTAAGGAACACTTTAAAACACGGGAAATTGTTATTATACATTGATAGAATCGTAAGGAACACTTTAAAACACAGGAAATTGTTATTATACATTGATAGAATCGTAAGGAACACTTTAAAACACAGGAAATTGTTGTTATACATTGATAGAATCGTAAGGAACACTTTAAAACACAGGAAATTGTTATTATACATTGATAGAATAGTAAGGAACACTTTAAAACACAGGAAATTGTTATTATACATTGATAGAATCGTAAGGAACACTTTAAAACACAGGAAATTGTTATTTTACATTGATAGAATCGTAAGAAACACTTTAAAACACAGGAAATTGTTATTATACATTGGTAGAATCGTAAGGAACACTTTAAAACACAGGAAATTGTTATTATACATTGATAGAATCGTAAGGAACACTTTAAAACACAGGAAATTGTTGTTATACATTGATAGAATCGTAAGGAACACTTTAAAACACAAGAAATTGTTATTATACATTGATAAAATCGTAAGGAACACTTTAAAACACGTGAAATTGTTGTTATTTATCCATAGTATCGTAAGGAACACTTTAAAACACGGGAAATTGTTATTGTACATTGATAGAAATTGTTATTATTCATCCATAGAATCGTAAGGAGCGCGTTAAAACACGGGAAATTGTTATTATACATTGATAGAAACGTAAGGAACACTTTAAAACACAGGAAATTGTTATTATACATTGATAGAATCGTAAGGAACAATTTAAAACACAGGAAATTGTTATTATACATTGATAGAATCGTAAGGAACACTTTAAAACACAGGAAATTGTTATTATACATTGATAGAATCGTAAGGAACACTTTAAAACACAGGAAATTGTTATTATACATTGATAGAATAGTAAGGAACACTTTAAAACACAGGAAATTGTTATTATACATTGATAGAATCGTAAGGAACACTTTAAAACACAGGAAATTGTTATTATACATTGATAGAATCGTAAGGAACACTTGAAAACACAGGAAATTGTTATTATACATTGATAGAATCGTAAGGAACACTTGAAAACACAGGAAATTGTTATTATACATTGATAGAATAGTAAGGAACACTTTAAAACACAGGAAATTGTTATTATACATTGATAGAATCGTAAGGAACACTTTAAAACACAGGAAATTGTTATTATACATTGATAGAATCGTAAGGAACACTTTAAAACACAGGAAATTGTTATTATACATTGATAGAATCGTAAGGAACACTTTAAAACACAGGAAATTGTTATTATACATTGATAGAATAGTAAGGAACACTTTAAAACACAGGAAATTGTTATTATACATTGATAGAATCGTAAGGAACACTTTAAAACACAGGAAATTGTTATTATACATTGATAGAATCGTAAGGAACACTTTAAAACACAGGAAATTGTTATTATACATTGATAGAATCGTAAGGAACACTTTAAAACACAGGAAATTGTTACTATACATTGGTAGAATCGTAAGGAACACTTTAAAACACAGGAAATTGTTATTATACATTGATAGAATAGTAAGGAACACTTTAAAACACAGGAAATTGTTATTATACATTGATAGAATCGTAAGGAACACTTTAAAACACAGGAAATTGTTATAATACATTGATAGAATCGTAAGGAACACTTTAAAACATGGCAAATAGTTATAATTCATCAATAGAATCATAAGAAGCGCTTGAAAGCATGGGAAATTGTTATTATCCATCCATAGAATCGTAAGGAGCGTTTTAAAACACAGGAAATTGTTATTATACATTGATAGAATCGTAAGGAGCGCTTTCAAACACAGGAAATTGTTATAATTCATCCATACTTTAAAACGTGCGAATGAAATTTTCCCGGGTTCAGTGTCTTTCGTAATTACATGAAAAATAGAGTTTTTGCCAATAAAAAGTGATTTACAGTAAATAAATTTGAGATTGCTAACATGTAGGCTTTTTTACACTCTGATATTCCTTATGAATTCTAGGGATGGGTCCCATGCCATGGACTATAAACTCTGAAATTTGTGGGCCAGAAGTATGGGAAATGCAATCTCCACAGGAACCAATTGGATCTTTAATTTGGTGGTGGCCATGACTTTCTTAACACTGACAGAAAGTATTACTAAGTATGGTGAGTTAAATTTTCAGGGTTTGGGTGAGGTTATTATCATAGAATTATCATTATATATGACTTACAGGACATGGTCTTCCATCTGTTTATGATACAATCAATATATTACACAATTATTAAATTATCAGAATGTACTGGTTACTTGTTGGGGGGTTGGTACTGTTCTTTTCTTTTTACGGGTTATTTTACAGGTACTTACTGTACTGGTTATTATCTATTTATAGGTACCTACTGGTTGTTTGTGGGTGTCGTTTTCTGTGGACTCCTGTTTATTGCGGCAGCTTTGCCGGAGACTAAAGGTAAAAGTCTGGAGGAGGTAGAGACTCTCTTCCAGGGATCCGTGTGTCCGGGCTTCTCCAGGAAATCACACAAAACAGAAAATTCCACGTGACTTAAAACAAAACCTTCTCCAGGAAATCACACAATTCAACGTAACACAAAACAAAACTCTTCTCCAGAAAAACGCACAAAACGGAATTCCACGTGACATGGAGACGGAACCAGGCAGCTAATCAGCGATATGGGAACCAGCTTAATGTGATAACAGTCCAATGGACCTGGTGATATTGTGATGCATGATGAGTAATGCTCAGTGCCTAATTCAGATCTCAGAGAGATGGAGTCATAAAGTGCAATAACTACTTAACATTACATGTATAAATACAATGTAATTTTATGTATTCTATGCATTCCATGTGCCTTAAGTAATCATAACTGGGGAGCAATAACGTTACCAATTGTCTTTCCCTGAGAGAATATTTTGTGCCATGCATTCTTTAAAAATGCATTTTCTCATTCTTATTCTAGCTGTGATAATTATATAAATATATAATATGGTTTTTATGTATATTCTGATATTTGAGATATAAAGGGTGCACAACTTTTTTTTTCTCTGAACAAGTTATTAAATTCAGTTAGTAGCTTAATTATAATTCTACTATATACTGTAAACTGATACTTAATTCATTAATAGTGATCATATTTTATTTGTACATTTTTATGTTGGTTATGGACTTTATGGGAAGCACTGACTTTTACAGTTAACTGGTTACTTTGACAATTAAACCTGTATCATGTACACTGTATACAAAGTGCTAATCGAAAATCTACTTGATTTGGATCACTTGCTATATTGCTTTGGGTACTCTGATGCATTATGGGTAAAAAAGAAAATTCTGCAGGCAAAATATGAATAAAAGTAACTTTAAGAAATTACAAAACTTATTATACCTTTATAGAATCAATGTAAATTTATTTGAGAAAATTTTTAAGTTGAAACAAGTTAGAAATTCGATACCATTCTCATTTACTAAGTTACAATGGGATTTTCGCTCATTTTGCATTATTTCAATTGTTCTTAATTTTTTCAAACTATATTCTGTTGTAAACGTTATTGTATCTTAGTTTTCGCCTCAATTCACCCACGAAACATCATATGATTTCTATAAATTACACTTTTTAGAGAAATTGGGCTATTCTTGTTTTGAGTGAATGCTATACTATGTTTGCAACATATTTTTGCGATGGCTATACTTTTTTCGGATCCTTTTTGTGATTTGCATGAAATTAAGATTTATTGTTTTTTGTTAAAATTATTGCGATTTAAACAGTTTTGAAAAAGGTATTGGCATTTATTATCCCAAGAGAAACATTTATCAGTCGAAAGAAGTTAAACAGAAATAAATAAATATAGAATTTGATGAAATGTGCTATCATTGCTGGTGTTTGTGCGATACTTGATTTGCGTTTTGTCACGATTCTTACAGAAATGCTATGTTTGATTTGAGTAGAATAATTCTTGAAGAATGAAGCCGTATATAGGGGGAGTATAATCCAAAGACACTGGTTTATGTCGTTAAATAACTTATTGATAAATACACGTAATATAATTTTACTTATGTTTTAAAGGTATGTAAAACGGAAAAAAGGGCTTCACAAACTAATCGAATTTTTTCCAAAGCTCATGATAGGCGTAAGACTGAATGCGTTAACCACAATATGCTACGGTGTCTTCTTGTTGTCTGTGTGTCAGTTTGCTTAAAAAGAAACTAATAAGTTGAGACAAATAAGGTTTTTCAACCTATCATTTATTTTATCTTGATTTGTTTTATTTTTGGCTTACTTCTCTCACCAAACTGTTAGACCTTTGTTTTTATACTTAATTTGATTACGAAATGTTCCATTCACTTAATCAATACCCCCGGTACATAGGGCTCACAGCGTTTGTGACCGATCAACAAGGGATGCTTACTCCTCTAGGCACACGTTCCAATCTCTGGATCTCTGGTATTCCGGGGGGGGGGGGGGTCCGTATTTATGCCCTACCCACATGTTTGTATTGTTTGTATATTTTTTGACATAAATCAATGCTCATTATCCTCATTTTTTTTCATTTCTGAAATATTCAACTTTTAGATAGAATGGGTTCAGACGCCATTAAAAAAACACAATGCATTTACTAGAATACCTGGTCCGTTCACATTCAAAAATAAATCTTTATTGCTAGAATCATTTAATATAAACGTACCCATTTTCGACTAAATAAGTCTAAAAACAATTTTCAATCAATATGCCTTTCAGAACAATATATGAATCTAATATGTTGAAGATGACATTACCTACAAAATAATTTTAGAAAAATAAAACTTTTCCGTCATAGAGCGGGTGATTGTCCTCGCCTTGTACACCTTTTTTCTCTCTTTTATAAATTTATGATAAAGAGATTATAATGCAACTTATGTAATATTTCACCTATTTTCACACTATCATCAGACATCAGAACTTAAAACTAAGAATCTGAAACAGAATCTATGAAGATAAAAGTTTAATTAAAATTTGGCATTATATCCCCATAGACAGATCCAGAAAAGCGGATAAAGGTTAGGGGATCAAAACCTGATAATTTTTTCAAATTCACTAAAATTTAAGAATATTAAAGTAACCATATCAAAATACCCCCCCCCCCCTCCCTCCTTCCCAAGAAACGCAAACTCTTAACAGTCAGTCTACGATAAAAGAATATAGTTACGGAAGTTCACTGATTTTCAGGGATATGGTATGATTTCTATGAAAAAAAGATCCATGCATTTCTTTGAGAAATGTGGTAACCATTTGTTTTCTTTTTATAACATGAATTTTTTTTAAATATTTCATGCAATCTCTTCTTAACACTTATTTGGCTGAATTGAAATTAGTAAATGAACGAAGCGGCATTAAGATTTGAAGTTGAATGCGTTTTAATTAATCATTAAATTATCAAATCAAAACTTTGAATGCATATATATACCACTAAATATTTACAAAACCATGTATATATGTAAAGTCTAAGAGTTGAAATCGATCTTTAAAATTTTACAATATTACATGTAAATTGGTGAGCAACATGAAAATTCTTAATTTGGTATGTTTTTGTTTATGAATGACTATCATAAGTTGATAGGAAAAATGAGAATATATATGGAAGAATGTAGCTTGTCCACCAATTAAGCCGACCCCATTCCTAACCATAAAATAGGATTTTTGTGTTGGGATCTTTTAGTGTTATGGACAACAATGTAACCCCCTCCCGTTTCCAGAAGAAATTTATGCTTGAGCAATCCTTTATTCCGGAATGAAAAAATAAAACTAAACATATAAATTAACGAAATAAAAACGTCATTACAGTTGCTTCCATTAGAAATTAAAAAAGATACTGTCACGAAAGGTTCAAAATGTTAAAGGTAGGGGTATAATTTATTTTATTAAAAGAAAAATAAGTAACGTCAGGTGCCTGTGTGTTTGTACTCTCCTAAGTAACTTACCAAGAGGCCACACTACTTTTTCTATAATTTATATAAATACATATGTATCACACTCACCGATTGAGCATAAAATGCTCAAGGTGAGCATATGACACATGGACCTCCGATGGACTGGGCCATTGTTGAAATGTAAGAGGAGTCTTGGGAAGAAAATATTGTACAGTACTGTTGGAAACACAAAGTAACGTCAATAAATTAATTTACTCATTGCACTAGGTCTAAATGCTATATTTATACTCGAAAAAAGTATAGCTGTCATGACAACAAAGATAGCTTTCTTGATATTTTCTACGCAAACATAATATAGCTCTGGAAAAGTTGGGTAGGTGCATATTTGATGTAATTGCCAGGCTATAAAGAAGACCTTGTGGTCGAATTTGATAGCTTACGTTTGATAAAGATTCATATTAAACATTACAATAAATGTTTTATTGAAATAATGTCAACAGTCCATTCCAGTGGATGATTAGTCGAAAAATGACCATTAGATGCGTGAAAAACGCGTGCTACCGATGTTTATGGAGGGGTAGATGAAACAAAAATATGATTATCTTTAAATATACCAAGAAGAAGTCTCATATTGTTTGAAGTAGTTTTATTATCAGTAAGAAAACGTATATAAAAGCACATTTTTTGCCTAAATGTGCAGACAGAAACTTCGAATGACGCAAACAAATATAGCTAGTGATCCAAATCAAGTAGACTTTCGATTAGCACTTTGTATACAGTGATGTACGATGGTACTGAATTGATAAGAAAATCATTTTAGTGGCCATAGGTGTTGTACAAGAGGCACTAACATATCCAAGCCGGTATTTAAGCATAAGTCGGTTGTCGTTTATTTCAAGGGCAACTTATTTGTGCTTTGAAATAACCCATAATTTTCCTGATATAACGTTGAGTTTAATATTATATTCTAGAAGAGCTACCGTACATTGTCGTAGTGTAAAAGTAAGCTGTGAACTGTAAAAGTCAGCGCTCCTTACAAAAGTCCTATTGTCCACTAGAGTTAAAGATACATTATTATTTACAGTAAAACTGGTTTAATCTTGACATCATTGGTTCCAAAAAAAATAGACCAGAGTAAAAACATTCCTGGCAGATTAAAAATTTTAGACAAAGGCATTTAGTGAAATGAACTTAAAAAGTTTATATCATATATGTTAATCAAGATTGTGGATTTCACATCATCTGGATTAAACAGGTTTCACTGTCACGAACAACAAAGACCTGTAGAAAGTTGACTCAAACGTCAGTTAATGAGAAATACTGCTTTATAAATCAGTGGCGGATCCATGTATCTTGAAAAGGGGGAGGGGGCAGTTTTGGGGTCAAATAGGGGTTCAAAGGTACACCAAAAATAATCGACTTATTAAGGCATGTATATTTTTGGCTCGCCTCTAAATCTGCCAGTGCATGTAAATTTATGTACCGGTAAGTTTAAAGTATTATGGTACTTTCACTTTCTATATACCTTGTAAACATTTCATGTGCCTTTATTATGAAACTCCCAGTTGAAATATACATTAATATTAAATTTTTAAACACATGCCAATTTCAACCATTTTTTAAGTGTATATAGTAATATGAAAATTTTAAAATGTGCTAATTTCAGCGAATTTTTTAAATTTTACTAAACACATAATGCACCTAATACATGTACACCATCCTGAATTCAAGCGCCTATATGCTTACGGAAACTCTATTCTATAGAAGCTTGGAGAAAGAATTATCAAAGATTGTAAAATGTATAAAAACAGAGCTGGTTACACAAGCTTGCCTCTCTGAGATTTTTACACATAAACTGCATCTGATATTAGTGAATAAAATATATAAATTTGGTAGATAGGCAAGCGTGTGCTCTATGTTTTCAGAAACAAAATGTTCTGTAAAATAGATGAAAATTTGCATGAAAATGAGAAATTTCGAAAATTGACCTATTTCCTGACCTCACTGTGACCTCTGTATATTCTTAATCTTAGAACCAATAGCAATTTTGTGGTAGGGGTGACAACAGGTTTTTATAGATAAACTGTTGGATCATTCTGAAAGACACTCAAAATCGGGGGCCAAATACTGGACTTACCCTATCTTGTCCTTTAACCCGACCAGCCTCCATACTTTTAGCAACATTGAATGTAATGCAGTTGCTTAGAACGACTTCATATGTTTATTCATTCTTCTTTAAAAAAACAAAACAAAATAAAGCGTTTAAGATTTAATAGCGCTAACCAACAGCACTGGATGGACAGTCGATAACGCCCCTCCGGCACGTGCAGGTCACGCCCCCACGTTGTATGTGGTCCCCATCTCTGTACAACCTAGCAAAGAAAATCATCGGATTAGGTTTATTGAGGACCCTCTCTACACTGCACACTAAAGGGTTCTAATTCTATGGTATTTTTCAGCAGTAAAAGTGATCTGCCCTTAGACCTTAATTAAAAAAATTAATTTACAGTATATTACTTATTTTTTAATCAATTCAAATTAAAATAGTGTAGAAAGGGTCCATAATATATTACAAGGCAGTCTAAATCAGAACACAGCGTCTTACATTCCGCCCTCTGTACAGGTGCCCGCTTGGAAAGGGTCACCTCCAGCGAAGGGGTCCCCACCGGTGATAGAGAAGGGGGTGGAGCTAACGCTCCCCGGGGTCCCCGTACACTCAGTCATGTTCTTGACGCGAAGATGGTAGGCGTTCACCCAACCCACCTATGAAAGGGGGAGTGTGGAAAATTTTATTATACTCAGTGGCAAATCTTCCTAATAATATGACAGAAATATACTGAAAAATGGAAACTTACTGCTAGGTTGCTGTGATATTACCTCATTTTGGACATTGAGAAGTTCGTACCAAGTGGCACCAAATATGTGTAAGAAGCCGCCCTTTGTGACAAAACAGTCATTATCGTGTAAAACTGCTAGGACTTTGTGTTCTTCTCCCGCTATAGAATCAAAACAAGTTAATGTTAACATTATTGTTGTGTTAGAATAAGACATTGGATAATTTAATCTCTTAACAATTGTATATCGTGTAGAACCGACAGGACTAATTACGTTCCTCTTCAGAAATAAGTCATTCTCTGTAGATCACTAAATTTTCCCGACACCTTATTTTCGCGAGATAGCCATTGACTCTTGATTAACGAGACAAAATTTTCACGAGTTGTGGTTATTGCTATATATAATCTTATACAATCCTATTGTACGCGAGAATTAAATTTTCGCGAGCACACTGTCTCGCGTAATTACGGGAAAATAAAGTTGTCATGAATAAAAGGGATTTACATTAAGTCACTGTCAACATAATTAACAGACAAGCAAACAGCTGAACTGAACTAGAATCGTTGATTACAGGAACAAAAAAAAAAGAAATACTGTCCATAAAGCTAATTCTGTATAGTCATCTAATTTAGATACAGGCAAAATATACCAATTATTATCCCTTTTTTCATAAAAAAAAAATGACTACATTAGTAGTATGTTTTGAATATTAATATTACATTTGTTTAAAGGTAAGGGTTAGCAGCCCCCCCCTCCCTTCAGCAGTGCCCCTTCGATCCCTTTAATTAGGGTCAGTTCTTGATAACGATACAAAATTTGACGTGAGAATTTGTAGAATCCTCATCATAAGAACAGAAGGGCATTATTATCTATCTTTAAAACTTAGTTTATTAAGAAAACTGATTCTGTAGGATTACAAATGGCAATATATTAGTATTAAAAGAACCCCTCGTAAATTAATTCTTGGAGGGTGTAAATTCTTGGATGAAAGGTACATGTACCAATGAATTAAACAAATATTAAGCCACGACGAAATCTAATTATTTCACAATATATGAATGAAAAGTACATTCTGGAAATTGGACACTTTTCCCGAACAATCTGTGTACTGTTTACATGAAAGAGGCAAACAATGTCTTATACAAAATCTTAGTAGCTTAGAACAATCCCTGACGTACATTTCATGATCATCAGTGTCCTATACAGAATCTTAGTAACTTACGTCCATCCCTGGCGTAAATATCGTTATCATCAACGTCCTATACAGAATCTTAGTAACTTATGTCCATCCCTGATTAAAATATCGTATTCATCAATGTTCTATACAAAATCTTAATCCCTGACGTAAATATCGTTATCATCAATGTCCTATACAGAATCTAAGTTACTTACGACCATCCCTCACGTAATATCGTTATCATCAGTGTCTTATACAGAATCTTAGTAACTTACGTCCATCCCTGATGTAAATATCGTAATCATCAATGTCCTACACAGAATATGAGTAACTTACGTCCATCCCTGATTAAAATATCGTAATCAACAGTGTTCTAAACGGAATCTTAGTAACTAACGTTCATCCCTGACGTAAATATCGTAATTAACAATGTCCTCTAACGAATCTTTGTAACTTACGTCCACCCCCTGACGTAAATATCGTAATCAACAATGTCCTCTATAGAATTTTAGTAACTAACGTCCATTCCTGACGTAAATATCCTTATCATCAGTGTCCTATACACAATCTTAGTAACGTTCGTCCATCCCTGACGTAAATATCGTAATCAGCAGTGTCCTATACAGAATCTTAGTAACTTACGCTCATCACTGACGTAAATTTCGTTATCATCAGCGTCTCATACACAATGTTAGTAACTTACGTCCATCTCTAACGTAAATATCGTTATCATCAATGTCCTATACAGAATCTTAGTGACTTATGTCCATCCCTGACGTAAATATCGCTATCATCACTGTCCTGAACAGAATCTTAGTAACTTATTATCAATGTCTTATCCAGAATCTTAGTAACTTACGTCCATCTCTGACGTAAATTTCGTTATCATTAGTGTCCTGTACAGAATTTTAGTAACTTACTTCCATCCCTGACGTAAATATCGTAATCATCAGTGTCTTATACAGAATCTTAGCAACTTACGTCCATTTCTGGCGTAAATATCGTTATCCGCCACACATAGGCATAGTCCCCTCCGTAACGTGTCGTGTATCGTGGCGCCCCCTACACTCCCTACCAACAGAAGAAACAGCCCCAATGTTGTCATGACATCTACAAAGTACTAACGTGACCTCTATAGAGAACTAAAGTGACCTCTTGTAGATAAAAATATAGTCCCCCAAACGAGGAACTATTTCTTATCTTTCTGCAGTGGTCTGTATTGTAGGAATCGTTACAAAGAAAGTATATTTACATGGAGTGCTGCAGTATCAAATCAATGTGATAATTATTTACAATTCGCAGAAATAAGGATTTTTTAAACAATATTTTTTCTGTAAAAAAAGTGTTATAACTACATATCTAAATATATTTCGACACTTTAAGGGGGCGATCGGGACAATAAGTTAAGTCATGGTATGAAATTTCATGGCAAAGGCTCAAAAGCTTCTTGAGATAACGCTCGGAAATAAAAGTTTAACACATAAACAGATGTTTTTAAATTATGCCCTTGACCTTTGACCCCAAATTACTTGGATATAAATATCAGTTCATTCGCAGCATGCCAGGTACATGTATTGGCATGTTTTACTGTATATATTACAGTTTTTATTACAATATATTCATTTTACAATAGGTCAAAAACAGTTTATGGGTTAATATTTCCATTTGTTTTCTCTGTGATTAATCTTTAAAATGTAAGTGAATTGATTTCTTGATCATTCGACCGGAATGTAAAATTTCGCCGAGCTAAAGGTCAGGAGCTAAGAAAGCCTACGTCATGTAGATTTTGTACGTTTTTGTGTCTGACGTCAGAGGGCGGGGACTACTGAAATTGACTTGGAAGGCCTCCTGAAAAGTAAATTTATTACATACTTTTAAAATCTAAATTCGCTCGTTATTCAAATTATCCCACGTGTCCAACTATCATTGATACCCTGGCATACACAACACAGTAGACTCCTGAAAAGTAAATTTATTATACAACACTTATAAAATCTAAATTCGCTCGTTATTCAAATTATCCCACATGTCCAACTATCATTGATACCCTGGCATACACAACACAGTAGACAGTGATTCCTTAATGGTCTTTTGTCATAAATACCATATTCACCAAAAAGAGAGAAAAGAAACGGTTAAATATCAATATGAATATAATTTAGTTTAATGAAAACAACATTATAAAAATTAATGCTGCGCATCAAACAATGGTACATGAAATAGACACATAATTTGTTAAGTAAATGTTTTGCTGCATTCAAGCAAATGTTCACCAGGAACATTACTTATTAAGTAGAAAAAAGTGAAAATATAAATGTGTAAAAATAACACACAAGAATAAATTAAAACAAAACTTTTGGTTTAATAAAAAAATCAGAAATAACATCAACAAATAAAAAGAAACAGACATAAGTCTCGACTCTTGTGTTCTTTTGTAGCACTTTTGTAGCACTTTTGGGTTAACAATGATTGTATTTAAAATTAAGGTGTAACAAGTAAATATCATAATTGATCTCTTGGTAAATATACCAACTTCTGGGTGAACATCATAAATCTGTACATCAACAGTAAGGTTTATTATACCTCTGTTTATTTTTTCTAAATAAAAAGAAGACGAATAAACATGCTATTTTTTCTAAACAGTCTCTACCGTGAAATAGTTTTTGTGCTATTTGCCCATGGTGAATAGTCCTCAAACTATTTAACGGCAGCATTCGATTTCCCTCGCTTTTCATCTCTCAAAAACTTCTGATTTTACATGGATTGTGACGCGTATATATTGTGACGTAACAAAAGTTAAGTCAGAACCGGTATAATATGGAATATCTTAATTGTGTGCACCCTGGACTCCCAAAAGTTAACAAAATTTAAGTCAGCATCGGTATAATAAAACACCTATTTACTGACTATTCGGACAATAGCAAGTTTAGGTGTATTCTGTTATAACCAAACAGAAGAAAGTGCCATTTATGTTTAATTGTTATCAATTTAATTTAATCACAATACTTCTGAAAACAAAATTCAGATAATTCTTAAAAAGAAAAAAAAACTGTAACTAAATGTTAACAAACAACATTTATTACAGTTAAAACAAGTTAATTAATTTTAAAAAAGTCAGAGTGGTCTACAAGGTTATTTTTTTTTTTAAGAAAAAAAAATCCTCAAAAACAGTTGTAAAATCATTTTAAGAAAAACATGTTAACTGAGACAAATCTTACAAAAACGTGATCTTCACTCTAATAGTCTTGATATGTCTATCTGAAGTCATAGTAATTTAATTAATTGAGTTCTGAGATACATCAATTCAAGGGTACCGGAGGAATTTATGATTCTGCAACAGGTATAGATGATGAATTCCCTAATGAGGCAACAACGAACCTCAGATGGGGGGGGGGGGGGGGGGGTTGGCGGCACATGATCAATAAAGTTTTATAACCCTGTACATATATGTATATAAAAATCTAATAAATAAAAACTTTATTTTCCCTAAATATCAGAGAAATATCCATCCAAAACTGAAATGAAGTAAAATTCACATGTAGTAGATGGTCCAATACTATAGTGTATTCTTTAAAAAATACAGAATAGAAGCATTACAAACCAAAATAATACTAGGTACTATTTTATAAGATATGTAAAAAGTTGCCCTATAACTAATATTTCATTATAAATGAGTTCTTTATAACTAATGTTTACTGCATTGTACATCTATAAATAAAGTGCAAAGATTTTATAAATTAAAAACCTTTCTTTTAAAAAGTTATATGCATGATACTGGTTAAAAAAAAACAACAAACAAACATGTACACAGTAATATAACTAACAATAACAAAAAGTACACAAGTGTGACTTCCTCAAACTTTACCAAAAGACTAAAAAATAAGTAAAAGTGACACATTTTTAATTATACTCCATAATTTTCATCTATCTTTCTCCTTCTGAGTACTGTAAATCACTTTTTATTGGCGAGAATTTTATTTTCACGTAATTACGCAAGGCGGTATACTTGCGAAAATTTCATTCTTGCGTATAATAGAATTCCTTAAGATTATATAGAGCAATGACAACAATTCGTGAAAATTTTATTTCCCTAATAAAGAGTCAATGACTATCTCGTGAAAATAAGGTGTCGCGAAAATTAAGTGATCTACAGTATTTAAATGTATCAAAATGATATCTTAGTATAGCAAGGATAAACCTCACTAATATTCTTCCAAGCCCCCATTTGAGTCATAATGCTTGAACAAAATCTAAAAATGTTCATTTTTACCAACTAGACAAATCTCAAATCTTCCATTTAAGTATTCACTTAGCAGTTTACTTGCAATTTTAAAAGAATAAATGTTTCTCGTTCTCATTTACATGCAAGGTTTTATGAATTGTATCAACAGTTTTATTCGGGTTAGGTAAGGCCATGCAAAGTTAATTACTTGTTGCTCAGGTCTTTTTTCAAGAAATATGATGAGGGAGGGAGGCAATTTTTTAAAAACTTTTTTGTTTCCCCCAAAACATGACGAGGCAGCTTTTTACATTGTACAAAACCTCAAAAAATGTTGAGGGAGGTGATTTGTTTATATTTTATTGATTTAGCGATAGAAAGGGTCAATGAGGCACCCTTGGAAGAGATGAGGGACGGTCTGAGAACCAAGAAATTAATTTTTTTGCCTAGCAGTTCTAATGACTATCAACAGATTCTGGATTTTCAGTTCCCAGTGTTTGATGTCATATCTTGTGAGCTAGATTCTCTCGCGGTTTGACGTCACATCTTTTGAGCTGGTCTCTCCCACTTGTATGTTCCCGTATAAATGAAGTTAAACCGTGAGCACAACTCGTCACTCTCCCTGGGACCACGACTGTAAAATAAGAAAAAATGTCAGTTCTGAAAATCAGTAGATAAAAATTGACAATCATGGCCTCTATTTGATAGATTTATGGCATAGATTTGAAGATAGTTTATTCTTTGTATTTTTTTGTACTTCTGGTAAAATGACTAGTTTTATAAAATATATGTACTTATGTCCTCTTATCTTTTACAAATTAAAATTGTGTTCTGATGAAAGCAAATGGCCTTGAATTTTTTCCTCTATTATATACAGTGATAATTTATAAAAGATTTAGAATTTTAAATCCAAACAAATGTGATAACCAGATTTGTTCTTTTTATAAGTTTATTAATTATGAATATCAATGATATTACAAATTAATATAATGGTAATGATATTGGCAGTAATAAATGACAGTGTGCTGTACAAATGAAAAATAAGAAAAACATGACATTACTTACAAATGTAAATTCACATGAATATTATGAAGCATTACTAAAAAATATGAATAAAAATAATTTTACAAAATATGACGGACAGTTGACCTTTTCATTATAAAGATTTATAACATATTACACTCATAATAATCTCATGAATAAATATAACATGCTTTCATATAAATCTTACCCCAACTAGGGCCTCAATGCATAAACTCAGGTCAAGGTCACCGTCGACCACAGTGATACTGTACAACCTAACCAAAAATCAATATACCTATGTTACCTCTAATTGTAGTTGTAAACAATAACAAAAGTATGTCTCGTAAAATAATTTTAAACTTCTTCATAACAAAAGTCTATTAAACATCACCAGAAATAAAATGAATAGCCAATATTATATGGAACATTTATCAACAAAACATGCTGAACTTATTCTATTAAAATAAATATTTTCAGACTTTTATACAAATATTAAAATAACCCTACCAAAACATACTTTACTATTATGAGCAAAGTTATATTAAAAAAATGTAAACTTACAGTTGGTACACCTAGCTAGAAATAATTCAGCTTCAACAATGTTATTGTTCAACACACAGCCTTCATAGCGCGAAACATTTCGTGCAAAATCATAAACTATGAAGTCACGTGATCACAGGAAGTGATGTTGAAATTATCAAAATATTAAACAATACATTTAAATAAAAACTTGTGTGTAGTTTCCATCATTATTTGAAAAATGACAATGACAAAAATTATTTTAAATAAAAATCTTAAATACTTTAGCTGAACAGAATTTCTGTTACTAAAAATAGATGCGGAAATTACCCTCAATGACAAACAGTGTATGAAAACAAAGAGAGATAACTCTTTTGTGAAAATCACCACATCACATTCTTCCCTGCTAAGTATTTTTGCTTTCCACAGCAAAAAATTGAAAAAATATACACACACAAAAAAATATTTTTCCAGAAGACAAATATACACTTATTTTCAAACATATTACAAAATGTCTGTTTCAAATCAGTATTTACACAAAAATTTCTTGAGATTCTAATACCGATTGTGGCAACTTGTTCGGATTCGAATGTTTTCCTGCGGTAGTTCTCAAAGATCTGCGCAACGGAACCGGCTTCCCTGCTTTTTCTCTTGCATCCTCTGAATGTACGGAGTTTCCAGTATTTGTATTGAATTCACATTTTTCACTTGAATCACATTTTTCACTAGAATCACATTTTTCACTAGATTCACATTTTTCACTTGATTCACATTTTTCACTATGAATTCCCACTGAAGAATCATCACCATTCACATCTGTCTGTAACCGGTCTGCTGGTATGTCTGATTGTGTTTCTTTATCCTTGGAATCTTTCTGCGCTGAAATTTTCTCCATAGGTTGAGGATAGAGAGTTGACCATCCACTTCCCTCATCTTTTTCGGTGTTGTCCACAGCATCGACTTTCTTCAGGGAATCACAAAACTCTCCTGTATTTAACAGTTCTGTTCTGGTAACTGTTTTCTTTTCTCCTGAACCATCTAACAACTGTACTGTGTATACGTTATTTTCACGTTTTTCAAGTACTTTGTATGGAGTTGAGTTCCAATGATCTTGAATCTTGTTTCTGCCCAAAATGTGATTCTTTAATAACACTATGGATCCTACTGGAATAGGTTTTTCATGTGCGTTAGCATTATAACGATCTCGTCTATTCTCAGCATTTTTCTCTATGTTATCTGAAGCTAACTTCATCATATCCTGCATTTTCTTGTTATGCTCTAGAATCCAGTCATCCACACCTTCCTGATTCTCCTCTGAATTTAAAAGCAAGTCTATCGGTAAACGTGGGTTTCGTCCGAACATTAAATAGTATGGCGACAAACCTGTAGACGCATGTGGAGTTGCATTGTAGATGTATGTCATCTCAGCTAGATAATCAGGCCATCGCTTTTTCTTCTCGGGTGGTAAAGTTTTTAATCTGTCATGCAACGTACGATTATATCGCTCACACTGTCCATTCCCAATGGCGTGATAGGGAGTCGTCCTTGACTTTTGAATGTTATAGATCTTGCACAATTCCTTGACTACATCACTTTCGAAATTCCTTCCTCTATCAGAATGAATACGATGAGGTATGCCGAATTTGAAAAACCAGTCTTTCACCAATACCTTTGCCACTGTAACTGCCTTTTGGTTTGGGGTCACTATAGCTTGTGTAAACTTTGTAAACACATCTGTTATGATAAGCACATTTTCTTTTCCATCACTAGATTTCTCGAGGAGAGTAAAATCTATGGCGACAATTTCCAATGGCTTATGAGCTATCAAACTTCCAATTGGCGGTCTAACAGTTGGTATAGGAGCCTTGGCAATCATACAGCGCTCACATTTCTTGATCCAATGTTGAATGTCGGAATACATTCCTGGCCAAAAACATCTCCTTTTCACGAGTGCGAAAGTTCTCTCAATTCCTTGATGACCAGAATAATTATGCAGAGAGTCCAATACTTGATATCTCAAGGATTCTGGAAGTATTAACTGCAAAAATTCTCCCTCTGAGTCTTGACATTTCTTGTAAAGAACACTATCTTTGAGAACTAGTTTGTCCCATTTATGCAGTAGTTTTCGTGCAATGGGTGGTTCCTTCCCAATTAATCTCAATGTTGGTTTATGTCCTTTCTTTAACCATGATAAAACGGCAGCCAACGAAATGTCTCCCAATTGTAATTTTGCAAGCTCTTCCTTGGAAAATTCTGGAAACATCTTAGTTGCTATAAACTCAGAATCATCTTTTGATTTTTCCTTAGTCTGCAGGCTCTGCACATCAGTTAATGTTGTACTTTTCACCAAATTGGTAAGAATTTCTTCTGAATATACATGTTCTGTTTTATCTGCACACCATGCCACTGACATTTCCTCGGTTGAAATGGATTCTGCATGAACAGTTTTTCTACTAAGTGCGTCAGCATTCCTATTTGAACGTCCTGATCTGAACATGATCTCAAAGTCAAATTGCGCCAGTTGAGCAGCCCATCTCATTTCTACGGATCCTAACTTAGCAGTCTTAAAATGGCTTAACGGATTGTTGTCGGTGTAAACAACGAATTTTCCTCCTAACAGATAGTCTCTGAATTTTTCTGTTATAGCCCATTTCAAACTAAGTAGTTCAAGTTTCATAGAACTGTAGTTAGACATATTTCTCTCTGTTGGACGAAGACTTCTTGAAGCGTATGCTATGACAACACGTCCTTTATCCTGATCTTGCGATAGCACTGCGCCTAACCCGTCGTAACTTGCATCAATTTCCAAGATGAACTGTCTCTTGAAGTCCGGGTATCCCAAGATAGGAGTTGTCGTAAGTGCTTCTTTCAACTTCATAAATGCATGATCACAGTCTTCATTCCATCTCACACAAAATGAACCATCTACCATTTTTATCCTTGTTCGCTTGGTTTTCTTCTCCTGTTTGGTAAGGATAGCATGTAATGGGGCAGCTATTTTACTAAAGTTTTTCACAAATTTTCGGTAGTACGAACATAATCCTAAGAATGAACGCAATTCCCTCTCAGATTTTGGTTTAGTCCAAGTAGTGATGGCAGATATTTTGCTGGGATCAGTTTCAATGCCTTTTCTGGAAATTTTATGTCCCAAATACTTGACTTCTTGTTTGAAGAAATGGCACTTCTTTGGATTAATTTTCAAACCGTGTTTGGTCAGTCTTGAAAATACAAAATCAAGTCTTTCTAGGTGTTGTTCAAAAGTTGATGAGTAGACCAAAATATCGTCTAAGTATATCAGTAGAAACTCAAAATTCTTGTCTCCAAGACATGCTTCCATCAAACGTTGAAAAGTTCCTGGACTGTTACACAAACCCATAGGCATTCTAAGGTATTCGTACAATCCTCCGGATCCTATACGGAATGCGGTCTTTGGTATCGACTCGTCATCTAAAGCGACTTGATAGTAACCTTGTGCTAAATCAATCGTGCTGTAATACTTTGATCCGCATAAAGCATCCAATGACTCTTCAATTCTCGGTAAGGGAAAAGCATCCTTTACTGTCTTTTGGTTAAGAAGACGAAAGTCTACACATAAACGAAGTGATTTATCCTTTTTCCGAACCAATACAGCTGCAGCTCCGTATGGACTAGTACTTGGTCTAATTACTTGCTGATCAAGGAACTTCTGAATGAGCTGTTTCACCTCTTGCATCATGTGGGGTGGTACCCGTCTATGTGGAACAGCGATGGGTTTGTTATCAGTCAGTTCTATGTGGTGCTTTACCGTTGATGTATATCCCAAGTCGTCTTCATCTTTGCAAAATGCTGCTTTATGTTTCTGCAATAAGTGTGCAAGTTTTCGCTGTTGTTCACTACTAAGAGTGGTGTCTATATCAAAGTCATGTCCGTGTAATTTGATTTTTCCATTTCCATGTTCGGTAATATCTGAAGCTCTTTCTGTCTCTCCGTCAATTTGGACTTGAATTTCATTATCCTTCACTGTCACTTGAACAGAATTATGTAAGGAATCTGCTATTTCTGCTTCTTGAACTGTCCCAATCCTCGTCCTAGGATTTAACCACACATCTTCAGTCCCTAAATTTATCACTCGTACTGGCACTCTTCCATTTGAAATCTCTGAATAAGAGTCTATCACCATCACATTGCGTGGTAAATTTCCATGAGGACTTTGAATTGCCTGTACTAGTACATTCGAACATCCTCGGCTTTGTCGTGTAGTACACATCACAGTCACCATGGATTCAGCTGGTACTTTTACTGGAATTCGTCCAACTTTGGCAAAACTAAGCCTGTTAACTTCTGATGTCATTTGATACATGGATAACACAACATTCCATGTGTCACACAAAAGTTTATCTTTGGTATCAGACACGGACTCCAAATGAGTTTTCAGAAGTTCGAAGAAATTACTTCCAAGGACTCCTGGTACTCGGCTCTTCCGTTCTCGACCAAAATCGTCATCGGGATCCCTCACAACTAATACACCAACATTTGGAATTGTGACTATATCTGGGATGCTAATCTCAACTTCCGCATATCCAAGGTATGGAATAGGTAGGTTGTTAGCTCCAGTCACCTTCATCCAAGAAGTAACATCATGAAGTTTTGGCTTATTATCAAGTAGACTTCTAAAAAATGTTTCTGTCACTGTTGAAATTTGAGAACCAGTGTCTAACAAACACATTGTATCTTGGTTTTCAATTTTCACTGACTTTACGGGACAAGGTCCAATTCCTTTGTCAAAAACTCTGTCACGAATGTCTGTTTGCGAGTCTTCAATTTCCACTCCTGCAGTTCGACTCTTCACTACAGAAGTTGTTATTCCCCCTGTTTATTAACATCTTGCTTGGAGTTGCTTTTCCTAGCTTCTGATGGGAAAACAGATGGACACTGATTTGCTTTATGACCCTTGCCACTGCACTTGAAACATGTCACATAGTTTTTCTTAACATTGTCAATCTGTCTCTTAGGCTGTTTGGGTTCTGCACATCTTGCGGTAGAATTGAACTTTTCTGTTAGCGTCTGCAATTCTCTGCTGTGTCTGTCCAGTTGCTGTTGTTGCTTCAGTAGTAACTTCTTAATGTCTTCCAACGAATCAACTAATTGTACTTTAGCTCCTTCTGATGAACACTGTTGTGGTAGATTACGACTTCTATAATCTTCCGACCAGTCAATCACTGTCTCTCTGAATTTAGGAAAGTTCATATCCTTGAACTGATGTAAGTAACGTCTCATCTCTCTTCTCAGACTGTCATCCCGAATTCCATCAACAAATTTTTCTTTCAACATTGTGTCCTTATCGGTAATCACACTTGAATCCTTGTTGTGGATCTTCTCCATAAGCTTCATCAATGCCAGTGAGTACTTTTGTAGAGTTTCACCCTGTTCTTGGTTGCGCTGGTAAAACTGCTGTTGTAGTGCTGCAATAGTTTGGTAATTAGTAAACACTGAACGTATAATGTTAAATATTTTTTCTGGAGAATCCCTTTCGTTCTCTGGTCGTAAGCGTATTTCGTCCTTACATTGTCCACCAATGTTGTCGTAAATGAAATCAAGTTTGGCATCTAATGGTTCAATTGTTTTTAAGTGTTGTTTTACATCATGAATCCACTCGCATATGTCTGGGTCATTAACACTTATAGGTCGTCCACACAGTTTTGGTATTTTCTTCTCCCTTGCTATGAAAACAGTTTTATGTTCTTCTGATTTAGCGAAACTCATGTTATGTACATCGGCATTTAATTTTTCAATAATGGTGTTTGCTTTTATTAGTTCATGTTCTAATTTTTCAGTCTTCATAGTTTGAAATGTCAATTTGGCTTTTAATTCTTCTTCCGACATGGTAATAAATAATACACTGTAACTCTCCTACCAAATGAATCCTAAGTTGCTCTAGTTGTCCAAAACAGCTCTTCACATCATATCGTCACTGAACCATTAACTCTCATGTTGATACTGGAGACCTAAATTATGCACATCACACTGCCATATAATCCGAGTTAACCATTAATATATCCTGTCCACGACGCCATTTTGTGATAACCAGATTTGTTCTTTTTATAAGTTTATTAATTATGAATATCAATGATATTACAAATTAATATAATGGTAATGATATTGGCAGTAATAAATGACAGTGTGCTGTACAAATGAAAAATAAGAAAAACATGACATTACTTACAAATGTAAATTCACATGAATATTATGAAGCATTACTAAAAAATATGAATAAAAATAATTTTACAAAATATGACGGACAGTTGACCTTTTCATTATAAAGATTTATAACATATTACACTCATAATAATCTCATGAATAAATATAACATGCTTTCATATAAATCTTACCCCAACTAGGGCCTCAATGCATAAACTCAGGTCAAGGTCACCGTCGACCACAGTGATACTGTACAACCTAACCAAAAATCAATATACCTATGTTACCTCTAATTGTAGTTGTAAACAATAACAAAAGTATGTCTCGTAAAATAATTTTAAACTTCTTCATAACAAAAGTCTATTAAACATCACCAGAAATAAAATGAATAGCCAATATTATATGGAACATTTATCAACAAAACATGCTGAACTTATTCTATTAAAATAAATATTTTCAGACTTTACATTGTCAAATATTAAAAGAACCCTACCAAAACATACTTTACTATTATGAGCAAAGTTATATTAAAAAAATGTAAACTTACAGTTGGTACACCTAGCTAGAAATAATTCAGCTTCAACAATGTTATTGTTCAACACACAGCCTTCATAGCGCGAAACATTTCGTGCAAAATCATAAACTATGAAGTCACGTGATCACAGGAAGTGATGTTGAAATTATCAAAATATTAAACAATACATTTAAACATAGACCTAAATCGAAGGGACTGCCGACTTATGACGTCACAATCACTATCTTCTTGCGATTGCAGCGCCCTCACCGGGATGCATAGAAACAAACTTCCTGTAACGAAATTACTGTTGTCGCAGCATGATTTTTTGCATTCTTTAAGGAAATATCAACAAATTAGAGAAATCAATCACTTAGCTAATCTTCCTTCCACGAAATGATCTCGATTTACTACTTCGGAAGTTATAACTTTACGCTGTGGAGTCGATGGAAACGTTTTAAATGCAGACATCAGCTGACCATGACGTGACATCTCTTGAATGCTGTCGATTATATTTTACGGTAGTACATGATTATCTTCTTATTTATTTTACAAAAATAATTTATTATCTTCCAATTTTTAAACAAAGACCAATTTCAGATCTATGCTGAATTGATATAAATAAATACATCGTGAACTGCCGTTTACAGATTTAGATCAACAACTTACCGGTAATGAATTGATATGTTCCCGTTATAATCACAGGCGCTTGGTTTCAGGATGGTGTATTTTGTGTATTATGCGTTTTTCTAGGTGTGTCTGAGTACCCTTAAAAAAGGATTTTTATATACAGTAAATATGACATTTTTAAAACGTGCTTATTTCAGCGAATTTTTATTTTAATGAGGGTACTTTGACACACCTAGAAAAACAAGCGCCTATGGTTATAATGAACTACATATGTATTTTTAAAAAGTTAGTAATTACTCTTTTAGGTTTTATTATTTAATCAGTGTTAATCGAAGATTGTCAATGATCAATAGAATTCATAACAGATTTTTATTTTTCCCCCACAAGGTTTGTAGATGATGTCTGCCTTGCACAGTGGCACCAAACCCTATGGAAAATGTTTTCGAGAACATGTACCATTCCATGTACCATCTGGTGTGACAAGTTAAATGTGACAGAACAATTCAAAGGGAACAAAACAACAAAAGTGGTGTGTCTATGCAAGGAGGAGTTGAACATGACTGGATTGTTTGGAAGTCCAATTTTTTCAACTATACTGTATATCCAGAATGGGATTATTATTAACTTTTGTATATCATAACTCATATACAAACTGCATCAATATAAATATTAAATACATGTAATTTATTATGACTGGAATGAAATATTATTAAAATTATTGTTATATATTAGACTTTTCCACTTTTTGATTGATTAAAAATGTCATTCAACTTAAAACACTGCTAACTGTCATTAATTATGCATGGTTTAGAATTGTATATGAGAGTTACTTCTTTAAATTTGTGAAGGTGATTTTACAGTTTAACAAGTCATCTTTTTCTATAGTGAGCTTATATTTTGTGAGCACTGCTTTAGATATATGGCATATTTAATGTCTTTTAAAATAATTATTTCCAGTGCAATTAATCACAACTGCTAAGTACAAAATAATAATTGCTGAGCAATGTGAGCATTATAATTCTCAGTCTTCTCAACAGCTTTGAAGAACAAACACTACTAAGTTATTATTTTTTATTATATATATATATACAAGTTCAATTGCCACTATGATTAAACTGTTTGATCTTTTAACTTCTGCAGTTACAATTAATGTAGCTCAAAACACACATACACTTGTAAATCTTATCATTTTTTTCTTTTCATGAAATTATACTCCCTATACCCCCTATACCTTGTTATGTAGTAAAGGAAAAGTATTCTTTTTTATTTAAAGAATCATACTAAAAATGGGATACAACTTTTCTTTCTTTCTTTTTTTTTTAAAGATGCATGTCAAATTTGTGAGCATAAATATTGAACTACCTTTTAGCTCTATACTGAAATTCAAACCAATAAAAAGTTTGACAAGCCAAAAAAAAGTGTCCTTTTTGTACAAACTCGAAAATCCTATTTTTAAGGGGGGGGGGGGGGGGGGGGCGGTAGGATTGAACTTATTTTAGTACCAAATTTTTATCCGAACACTACCAATTATCCATTTTTTTAAAATTAAACTAAAACGTGCCTGTTGAAAGAGGGGGGGGGGGGGGGGCTAAACCCACCCCCCAATGATCAATGTCTACATTATGTATATCTTTGAAAATAAAAAGGGGGGCGCCTATGGGTTTGTCAAGGAATACTCCTGTTGGTTATTAATTTCTATCTCCTTATTATTCGTGTTACTGTACCTTAATAATAGGGTGCTACGTACGTCAGCCCTGGACCTGTTGCGAACCATCGGCGTTTTCATAAATCATAAGACCTTTGCTCTTTAAAAATTCCACGCAATAAATAGGCCTATTTGTTTCTTAATTAAATATGAACGTTTTTTTTCATCGAACAGCATCTATAGAGCAACCTCGCATGTAGTTTGACAACTTCTCTGTGATCATGATGTCAGAACATCAGTCACGTTTTAGCTTTTTTTACACATTCAAAAAGAAGATAAATACCTCAAAAACTGCTCAAGGAACTCTTTAGTGTATTAGCTTAAAAAAATTGGTACATTCGGCAAAAGTTTAATTCATTCAATGCTATAATATCTCAACAACGTAGATGTAAATAACGTTATCTTTGTAATACCGGATGTTTTCTATGCATCCCGGTGAGGGCGCTGCAATCGGAGGGAGATCGTATAGTGATATCTATTGTGACGTCATCGGAGTCGGCGGTCCCTTTGTTTTAGGTCTATGATTTAAATAAAAACTTGTGTGTAGTTTCCATCATTATTTGAAAAATGACAATGACAAAAATTATTTTAAATAAAAATCTTAAATACTTTAGCTGAACAGAATTTCTGTTACTAAAAATAGATGCGGAAATTACCCTCAATGACAAACAGTGTATGAAAACAAAGAGAGATAACTCTTTTGTGAAAATCACCACATCACACAAAGAAAATAAGAAGTTACATAAAAGTCAAAGAAAATATTGACAGAAATAAATGTTACATACGTATGTAATACATGTATATGTTTATAAACTGAAACAAACATTTTTTTTTAAGTTTATGACATTCTCAAGAAATTCTTCAAGAAACACAGAATAAATACAAGAATTGAAATGGATAATAAACAGCTAGATTATAATAGTATGCAATATATATTTTTACTATGTAATTCAATATTTCGTTGGTTTGCTTTATATCACATGCTAAATGATAATTTTCTGATATTCATTATTCAGAAACTTTGAATTCCTCATAAATAAGTTCTGGCAAATCATATACAGCTGTACTGACAAATGTTTTGAATCATTTTTTGGGTTTTTTTTCCTTAAGAAAATAGTATAACAAAATAATGTCTTCATTACATAGCTAATAAATAGTCCATAATGAAATTATACGGAAATTTAGCATTCAAAATCAAGGCAATTTATTGAATGCTCAGTTTACAATCATTAGTCAAGATATGACTTTGCTCCCAAACAACCTGAATGCCTGGAGGCAGCTGCTTTCAATATGGAACACTCCTCTGTTGATATAAAGAAATGTCATCTGTATTTCTTTCAACTGCTCAATAGTGATTTTTGTGATGAGTAGTCCAGGCAGCTAGATAAAGTGATCTTATTTTCAAACAGAATTGCATTCATCATTGGGACTTGTTGTAAGTGTTTCTATTTTAAAACAACATTGCATTTATTATCGGGACTTGTTGAAAGTGTTTCTATTTTAAAACAATATTGCATTTATCATTGGGACTTGTTGAAAGTGTTTCTATTTTCAAACAACATTGCAGTTATCATTGGGACTTGTTGAAAGTGTTTCTATTTTTGAACAACATTGCATTTATCATTGGGACTTGTTGTAAGTGTTTCTATTTTCAAACAACATTGCATTTATCATCGGGACTTGTTGAAAGTGTTTCTATTTTCAAACAACATTGCATTTATCATCGGGACTTGTTGAAAGTGTTTCTATTTTCAAACAACATTGCATTTATCATCGGGACTTGTTGTAATTGTTTCTATCTTCAAACAACATTGCATTTATTATTGGGACTTGTTGATTGTCCCAAGCTTGTACATTTGTACAGACGACTCTTACCAATATACTTAGTAATAAATACAGGATTTTTGCATATGTGATATGGCTGCTGTCACAATAGCTGTATCAGCCCTGCAGGGCTGATATGGATTTGCGGGGCTGATACAGATCAATATCACACCTCTAGAAAATTAGACAAAAAAAAACAGTACTTGTGATCATGCACATATTTTGGGGGTTTCATATTCTCTTAATTTCAACTTTTTGAATGTAAAGATAATCTAATTGACATATTATACAATTATTTAATGCCTGAGCAGTCAATAGACCAGAATATTTTTCCCGAGGTGCAGGGAACAGCTCAGTGTGTTCTATTGCCCGAGGCCAGCGGCCGAGGGCAATAGAACACACTGAGCTGTTCCCTGCACCGAGTGAAAAATTTTCTGGTCTATTGACTATTCAGGCATTAAATAATTGTTTTATTACCTAATTTTATTTTCCGGATTAAGTGTTCATATTTGTATATTCAGTACATAAGGTTCCCATACCATATTGTTAATTTTTACCTAGATATTGTGCATCTGTAATATTAATTAAAGATTTATTGTATAGACTATTGTTTACATTCCTCTCGAAAATTTTTCACTCTTATGGAGACGCCACCACTTCCCGGTGGAGAGGGACCTCTTTCGTGCCAGCAGAGCACCTACTGCTACACGGGACCTCGGTTGATAGGTCTCACCCGAAGGATCAGTCTCCACATCCCACAGTGTATTAATTAAAAGTAACTCTCATTAAAAAAAATATCCGACCATTGAAATCACACATTTTTTAAAACGAATGCAGAAAAATCGAATAAGATGATTGTTTACCATGTCTGTGCAGTGTTACAAACAACTAAATTCGAAACCCGGATCGTTTTTGACGAAATATGTCACCGGTCAATAGAACGCGCATACTATTGACCGGTCAATAGATCGGTTTGAAAAGATAAGGAAAACTGAAAACACATCCAGAATAGATGAAAATATTAAATCTCTAATAAAACAACAAAATTCACTTGATTAGGTAATAAAATAGATTATTTTCAAATTACAGATACTGCACATTTGAAATAGAAGTACATGTACATGTCGAAACAAACCCAAACGGTATGAGACAATAGACCATGCACATGTAAGAAGTCCGTGCATGATTGTTTACTTTTTTTCCTCTCAACTTAATGTGTTCTTTATTTTATTACTAAGTATGTAATAAACATAATAAAGCATACCTTTTTCCATATCACATACTGTATCAGCCCTTGACCAATATCAGCCTTCGGGCCGAATATTGGTGTCTCGGGCTGATACAGGATGTGATATGGAAAAGGGTATGTATTATTCTCTATTAACCCCTGGTACATAAACAAAATCACCGTTAGGCAGAGCATCCCCTCACACCAGGAACTTGACCGGTAATGGCAATATTTCATGACGAGATTTAAATTCTCAAGAAGGGCATTCAAGATTGATTGTAGAATTTTTGTTGTTCAACATCCCTATCAAGAATTTTTCACTCATATGGAGACCCCACTACTTGCTGGTGGAGGGCTGCAAATTTTGTCCTACTCTTGGCAATGTATGATGAAATAATTTATAATAAAATTTCCAAAATTTTGAAATACAGTATCTTTAACTCTTAAGATTTGTAAGCAGTGTTGATGCCGGTTGACAAGTTTTCACAATGGGGACACTAGCCTATTAATTTTCCTCCCTAGCTCTGTAATGACTGTTTTTCCAGTTTTATTTTTTTAACAAACTTGAATCTAACTATCTGAGGATGCTTTCTTATCAATTTGTGTCATCATGGCTGTTTTACTCTTGAGAAAAATCTTTGAATGCATAACTATTCCTAATCCATGTAAAACCCTAACCTCCCTTGCTGCTCCTACCTACCCCACTGGGGTAATAATCTGAAGCTACCCTATGTTAAGAAAGTTTCATAAAAAAAGTTTTAACTTTCTTTCCCAGTTGTTCTAGAGATGGAGATTTTTAATAAAACAACACCCCATCTCCACTCTTGATTATCTCCCATTGAAAGAGAGTTTACCCCCTCATTTGGAAAAAAAAATTGAATTCACTTAACCCAACATTGCCTTGTGGTTAATTTGGTTAAAATTTGCCCAGTGGTTCTAAATAAGTCATACATGCACTAATGGGAAAATTTTATAAAGGGATAGAGACGAAAAACAAGTGATCAAAAAATTAAGTTTTCAGCTCAGGTGAGCTAAAAAAAAAAAAAAAACAAAAGACAAATCAAACAGTACTTAGTAGAAGAAAAAAATGGTTTAATTTCAATTATCCAACTTCCTAAACAATGAATAAAATTAATGTATATATATAAATATATGTGTTATAACAAATAATTAAAATGATAGAGAGAGAATTATGTTCTCCAGATATGTAAAACAGTTGCTGAACCACTAAAGAAACAAAAAAAGTGAAACAATCCTTGCGTTCTTATTTTGTTCAAAAGATTTTTTTTAAAAACTTTGATCGACCAAACATAGTCTCTTGTACATATAAATATAACTACATGATGAGATGATTAGTAAGAAATTGAGTGTTAATCACATCCTGGAACAGGTGGAGGTTAACAGAACAGCCAGAGACCATCAATCAGCAGTGGGGGTGAAAGGCAACAGCTACACCAGGAAGATGTGACAGTCTTAATCACAGAAACGTTTATAATGATGCTTTTTTATCAGTCCACTTGTAAGTCCCATAGTATTTGAAATCAAACTTATGGCAGAGCTGGTCCGATTCTTTTGGCCCTCGGCTGAAAACAGGAAGAGGGAAGTCAAACAAAGAGGAAAGAGGAGTAATAACAGTTCCTATATTGTGGCTCTGTATATAGGGGCATACACTGTTAGTCTGTATAATGATTGATGATTGATTGTATATTGTTTAACGTCCCTCTTGAGAATTTTTCACTCATACGGAGACACCACAACTTGCCAGTGGAGAGCTGCAAGTTTTGTCCTATGTTCGGCACTCAGGGCCTTTGAGCAGGGAGGGATCTTTTTCATGCCAGCACCTACTGCGACATTGGTTGAAACAGTCTCATCCAAAGGACCTGTCTCCACGTCTCACAGTGGGATTCAAACCCGCGACGTAAGGATTGACTCCTTACATCATGACTCTAGAGCAGACACTCTAACCACTGAGCCACGTGGGTGACCAGGTCTGTATAAAAGGGGCATACATTGAGGGTTTGTATGGTGGAGCATTATATTAGGGGTCTCTGTATAAAGGGGCATACATTGACGGTTTGTATGGTGGAGCATTATATTAGGGGTCTCTGTATAAAGGGGCATACATTGAGGGTTTGTATGGTGTATAAAAGGGCATATACTGTGGGTCTTTTATTGTCAACATATTTATTATGTGCATCTTTATGGTGGGTCTTTAAATTGTATTTGTATTCATTATATTCTGGGTCAATTCTTATATTGTGGGTCTTTCTATAGTAGTCAATATATTGTGGTTTGATCTTTCTATTATATTCATTATATTGTGGGTCTTTATATTGTAATCTTGAATTTATTGTTGTGTCTTGAAGAAAAACTTTATGAATATGAAAACTTGATTCTGATACTAAGGCCAAAAAAAAAATAATTAATAGTTTCTCAGGCCAAAAAATTCAAAATTCAATGCGGCAGGCAGGCTTTTTTTTTTTTTTTTGAAGCAGGTTTTACACCTTTTTTGTAAGTCATTTGCTCCATAAAATGATAATATCTACTAATTCTTAAGTTTTGTTCTCAGAAATTAGTTATAATTTGTATTCAATGTTAAATAATGTTATTCCAAACATTTATTTAAAACTGATCAAATACTTAAGATTTTGAAGAAATGTATTGTTTTTCAAATGAAAACGTCTTTCTTAGCATTTATGAAAAGGGAAATAACTCGATTTTCTTTTTCAACTTGGAAAAATAGAAAATTGAGTTATTTCCCTTTTCAATATGTCAATAAAATTGATCAATGCGGCCGTTTTTGAACTGATGCGGCGGTGCCTGAGAAACAATTGATTAATTTTTTTTGGCCTAAACAGATGAATTTAAATCATCAAAACATTTCACCAACATTTGCCATAATTATGATTAAATGTGAGTACATGACATGTTCAATATTTCTTGTAAAATGTTTTAAGAAAACTCACATTGTGAGTTTTCTTAAAACATTTTACATGAAATATTCCATTAGATATAGGGAGCAGATTTTCTTAGTTAGGGATGTTCACACTTCCATGGCATCTAATCCCACCTCTAATGGTTTATAGGTCCATGTTTGCTCTGCTCCTATTTTGTATTGTTTAATGGACTTTTGATCAAGAATACTGTTCATTATCTTCATATACAGATATTTAATTTGATAGAAATCTATACTTGTTTTGTGGTTCCTATTTACAAGATAATTATAAGAATAAAGAACCATGTTGAAGCTGAACATAATTCATAAAAGAATTTGTCTGCCATATTTGATTGGCTTCTCACTTTATCTCAGGGCCCTTATATAAAGACACTGTTTCAATTAGACACTACTCAGAGTAATCAATTATCACTGGAATAGACAGATGTATTCTATATATCACTCGGTAAAAACAAAAAATAACTGTACCTCTTCTAATACAGGAGAGTAAGATAACGGTGAAACTAACAACAGTTGTTGCATTATACAAAAAAAGAACACACAAATACTGTACTAAAAACTACTTTTAAATGTAAACAAAGTTAATGCAAGAAAATAGGCATGAATACAGGTCACCATTCTATGCCTATACCTATGACAAAAAAGTACCAAGGTGTAACAAATGCAAAGTGTATACCCTGGTCTTGATATCGTAGAAAGTAATATTAAAAAATGGCTTATTTACGAGTCGTGTTCAGCTTTAACAAGGAAAAATTATAGGGCAGCATTTGAGGGCAATATACAATGATTTTGCAGGCAACGATTTGATTGGTTTATAGAATTTGACCTCTGACATGACCCTCTACAAGATGTTGTTAGATGTTAGTGTAAGGAGTATGCGAGCGGATCTAATATCTAATTTTAATAAGATTGTTACTTGCTTGAAAAAAATTTAAGGCAAATAGTGGCAATATAGTGTAATTTTTTACAGACTGATTGAACAGAAATTGTGTTTCTGTGGAATTAAAACCCCGTTGATAAAAGTATGTTATACTTACAACAGATTTCAGCTGATTAAACAGTAGGTCAACGGGTCAATTTTCAGGGGGGGGGGGGAGTCAGATAATTGTTAATCATCAAGATATTAAATAAATCTAAAAGGTTGACAAGAGTAGAAAATCAAACATAACAAATGTGTTCTATAGAAAAGTTCAAGCTAGCACATTTACTTTACACCAATACAACACAAATATAAATACTAAAACATCTAACTATAACACTGTTACTAACACTACACATCCACATATAATTATACAAACACCTAGTATATACAAACACACACACCCACACCCTTACCTGCCATATTTGTAGGGTATAGGTTTTGGTTTCTCTTTCTCTATCTGATGCAGTATAGGAGTAAATACTCTCCAGGCCTCGTACAATTCATCAGACCGCACAAAGTGGATCTGAGAACCAGTGAACACGTCCAGAATCAGCCGTTCATAGGCATCAGGGAGCTTCAAGTCCTTTGAATACAACAAAAAGGATCTAAAGACACAGTTAAGGATGTATACCCAAAAACAGATGGCTGACAGATATTAAATTTACACAAAGCCTTATTAATAAATAAAATATAAATGATCTCAATACACAGTTAAGGTCATGTAACTGAAACAAAATGATAACTGACACAGATATTAATTCGACACTTCCTACACAAATATATCTCATATTCCAAATTTTAACTAGTTGCTTCAGTCTCTGTCAGTACTTTTGGTACTTTGATTTTTTTTTTGTCTGCTCAAGTTCCTGTCAAAACCTATGGTTCTTTGATTTCCCCTATGTTGCTTCTATCAGTACTTTTGGTACTTTGATTAGTCCCTGCCAGTACATTTAGTACTTTTTACCTTGTATCTACTGTTATAAGACAGGTCCAGCTCCGTCTCCTCACACCCAAATGACATGCCCGGTGATTTTGTCATCATCTTCAGATAAACTGCTTCATCAGGCTGGACACGGATAACTAACTCGTTCCGCTTCACTTCACCTGACGGGAAAATGTCCCCAGCGACATCCTTGAACTGTATCCTAACCTCAGCTTTTCTCTCATTGAGTGCTGAAAGAAATAAAATCTTATAGAATGATTAAAAGAATGAGGTTCACTTTAGGCCTCTTTTGGCCCTGTGAAAAATCAAAACTTCTCAGTTTCTATTTCAAAATATGTTAAATTTCACATGGACTGCATTTCAATGAAAAATGACTTAATTCTCCCTGTAATCCATGAATTAAGACTACATTGACTTGCATCATTTTTTTTTCAAATCTTAAAACTGGCCAAAAATTTATGCTGTTTTTGAAGATTATGCATAGTCCCCAACCTCTGATTAAAATGTTTTCAAAATTATAAAATGAAAGACAAACAAACATTTTTTAAGTTGTCCTTGCCGTTGATATTAATGATCGATTGACCTTGACCTTACCCTTTCCACACCTGAGGATGAAAGGTACGCCGTCCCATCTCTCGTTGTTCACCTTCAGGACCGCGGTCACGAACGTTGGCGTCGTGGAACCTTAATTAAAAGTTTACATAAAATTAGGAATAACAATAGATAGACAATAACTAACTTTTTGGTAGGGTGGGGTTCTTGGGCTTAGTGGCTCCCCTAAGGCTTAGCTCACCATTTCGTATGGTGGGGTCCTATGGTTTAGGGGTTATCTCACATTTTAGTATGGTGGGGTCCTATGGTTTAGGGGTATCTCACATTTTGGTATTGTGGGGTCCTATGGTTTAGGGGTATCTCACATTTTGGTATTGTGGGGTCCTATGGTTTAGGGGTATCTCACATTTTGGTATGGTGGGGTCCTATGGTTTAGGGGTATCTGACATTTTGGTATTGTGGGGTCCTATGGTTTAGGGTTTAGCTCACCTTTTGGTACGGTGGGGTACGGTGGGGTCCTATGGTTTAGGGTTTAGCTCACCTTTTGGTACGGTGGGGTCCTATGGTTTAGGGGTTATCTCACATTTTGGTACGGTGGGGTCCTATGGTTTAGGGGTTATCTCACATTTTGGTACGGTGGGGTCCTATGGTTTAGGGTTTAGCTCACCTTTTGGTACGGTGGGGTCCTCCAGGTATCCGATCTTTTCGTCTCCTTCTCCCTCAGGATTTCCCACGTACTGACCCAGCACTACATTATCCAGCTCTATTGGAGAAATGCTCTTTAAAACCTTCACCTATTAACAGAAGTTCAAGGACATTTATAAATTAATGTAACAAAGGCATTTCTAAGATTTAATCCTGAAAATGACATTTTAAAAGATGATGAAGTTTTGCAATGTTGAAATTGTTACACAATTAAAATCTGACCCTTAAATTTGACCTCTGACCATTTTAACAATTTTGACCCCCGACCTTTTCATTTCTGATGTCTTCTGCAGCAGTGGTTGGTGGCTTCTCCATGGCAACCAAAGTTAGAATCTGTAACAGGTGGTTCTGCATAACATCTCTGTAACCATGGAAACATATACACTTTTCTTTTTGCTTATATTATTTAAAACAAATGAAATCTAATTTGACACAAATACTGGACCAGGTCAGTAATTGACTTGAATGTTAATTTTTTTTTCCTTTTTCAAGCATGTGCAGTTGTATGAACTTATCCTGTAATGCTCCTCAAGGACAAAAAAAAGGTCAAGGATAAAAAGAGGGTAAAGGTCAGGAAAGCATGACAGAGCTGAAATTCCCTTTAAACATCTAACATCTGTCGTTATATATTTAAAAAAAAAAAGATAACAGGGCTTTTGACACTGTTATGGGTGAGAATAACCCTAAATGCCAGCAAAGATCAATCACACAGTTTAAACTTAACAATAATTTATTTACAGTAATATACAAATCATTAAGTACAAACTTAGCAAAAATCTAAAAATACATACATCAGAGTGTCCGTTGCTGCACACAATGTCCCAGTGAAATTATATCCCAGTAATACGTACCTCAATGATGCTTGTAAGACAATCGTATCTATGCATCGAATTGACAGGATATTTATACAGTATCATCAATCTAGAATATTCTAGAAGTTGTAAGTACATGATATTACTGGAAAGTTCTGGACATACACAAAGTTCAAGAATGTTCTAGAAAATTACCTAACATATTGACCACTCTGGAATGTTCAAGAAACTTAATGTTACTAATAATATACATGATGAAATAATACAAATACAACACATCTCACAACACCTCCCCCCTTAAAAAGTTTGAATGTCAATGAAAACTTATACCGTCAAAATGAAATACATGTACATTAATACAAAATCATGTATGTTCACGATACTCTGGACAAGGCATCTGCAATAACATTGTCTTTGCCTTTGATATGCTTAATTGTTATGTTGTATTCTTGTAACAACAAACTCCATCTAGTCAGTCTTTGATTCTTGTTTGACAATTTATGCAAAAATGTCAGGGGGTTGTGATCCGTATATACAAGAATTGGATGCAAAGTAACATTTAGATAAACATCAAAATGCTGTAAGGCTAACAACAAAGCAAGGCATTCCTTTTCAATGGTGGAATACTTTTGTTGACATTTTGTAAGTTTCTTTGAAAAATAAGAAACAACTCTATCTACCTTATCACTATGTTCTTGAAACAAAGCTGCCCCGATTCCAACATCACTAGCATCAACAGTAAGCTTAAATTGCTTAGAAAAATCTGGAGTTGACAGAACTGGGTTGCTCATAAGGACAGATTTGATTTTTTGAAATGATTTTTCACAGTCCTTTGTCCATTCAAAGTTAACCCTCTTTTGTAAAAGATTTGTAAGTGGACTTACAACTGAGGAAAAATTTGGACAAAATTTTCTGTAAAACCCAGCCATGCCCAAAAACCTCATTAACTCTTTCTTGTTTGTAGGAATCGGGAACTTTGCAATAGCTTCCACTTTAGCCATAATGGGTGTAACATAACCTTGACCTACTCTATGACCTAAATACTCAACATAAGCATGACAAAATTCGCTCTTCTCAAGGTTCACAGTTAAGTTTGCTTTAGCTAAAATGTCAAATAAAGCACGCATGATTCGGAGATGTTCGTCCCATGTGTCGCTGTATATGACGACATCATCAATGTAGGCCTCGCATCCCTCAAGGTCTTGAAGAAGGGAGTGAATCATCCTTTGGAATGTAGCCGGTGCGTTTTTCATGCCAAAAGGCATTACTTTATACTGGTAAAGTCCATCTGGTGTTGCAAAAGCAGATATTTCTTTTGCTCTTTCTGTTAACGGCACTTGCCAGTAGCCTTTCAACAGGTCAAATTTACTGACAAATTTGGCGTTTCCAATGCGGTCAATACAGTCATCGATTCTAGGTATTGGAAATGAATCAGTTTTGGTAACAGAATTCACCTTTCTATAGTCTGTACATAATCGGTACGAACCGTCCTGTTTTGGTACAAGAATACATGGTGAGCTCCAATCACTTTTACTAGGTTCAACAATGTCATTGTCCAACATGTACTGCACTTCCCTTCTTAGGTACTGCAATTTTATTGGATTGAGACGGTACGGATGTTGTTTGATAGGCAGAACGTCACTCACTATGACATCATGACAAGCTGCATTAGTTTTCTTTGGAACATCCGAAAAGATTTGATGATACTCATTCATCAAGTTTTTAACTTGTTCTTTTTGGTGAATGTTCAAATGTCCAAGTTTGGCATCAAAATCAGCCAAAATTTCTGAGTTTTTCAAGCGGACACTCTGATTACAATCTTTCTCATTCATCTCTACACTCGCATCACTCTCAATACAATTTTGAACAGTCTTAGCGTTGGCTAAAGTGGAAACTGGTTTTACAGAATTTCGGTCACACCTTTCAAAATACTCTTTTAACATGTTAATGTGACAAACCCGTTTCTCTTTACGTCGACCTGGTGTCTTAACTACATAGTTTACATCACTGATCTTGCTTTCAATTTCATAAGGGCCATAAAATCTGGCCTGTAAAGGATGACCAGGAATAGGTAAAAATACAAGAACCTTATCACCTGGCTTAAACACCCTATTTCTGGCATCTTTGTCATACCACATTTTCATTTTCATCTGAGAACTCTTCAAATTTTCTTGTGCTAATTTACAAGCATTGTAAAGTTTTTCTTTGAAATCAGACACATAATCTAAAAGATTAAGATCACTAGTCTCAGTCAGCCACTTTTCCTTCAACAATTTCAAAGGACCCCTAACCGTATGACCAAACACCAATTCAAAAGGACTAAACCCAAGAGACTCCTGGACTGCCTCTCGTGCAGCAAATAGCACAAGATGAACCCCTTCATCCCAGTCTTTCTCATACTGGTAACAATAGGTCTTCAGCATTGTTTTTAGGGTTTGATGAAAACGTTCTAGCGCTCCCTGGGACTCAGGATGATAAGCAGTTGATCTATATTGCCTTATACCCAACCCATGCATGACTTGCTGGAACAACCCCGACATAAAATTTGAGCCTTGATCCGACTGAATTGCCTTTGGTGCTCCTACAAAACTGAAGAACTTGGTTAGGGCCTTAACTATGCTCTTTGCCTTTATATTCCTAAGAGGTATGGCTTCAGGGAATCGAGTGGATGTACACATAATGGTAAGTAAATACTGGTTCCCAGATCTGGTCCTAGGCAAAGGTCCTACACAATCCACCAACACTCGACTAAACGGTTCTTCAAAAGCTGGAATTGGTTGGAGAGGAGCGGATGGTATCTTCTGATTCGGTTTACCTACCATCTGACAGACATGACACGACTTACAAAACTCAGAAACATCCTTCCTTAGCTTAGGCCAATAAAAATGACTCAAAATCCTATTATAAGTCTTATTGATACCTAAATGACCAGCCAAAGGTGTATCGTGAGCTAAACTCATGACATCTCCACGATAAGCAGCTGGGACCACTATCTGGTGAACAACACGCCACACTTCATCTGGAGAGGCGTCAGGTGGTCGCCATTTTCGCATAAGGATGCCATCTTTCATATAGAAGCATTCTCCAACTTTAGTGGCCTCTTCTGGTGGAAGTGCCCTCTTACTTAGTTGAATGATATCTGGGTCTTTATGTTGTTCAGAGAGTAAACGTTCTCGGCTGAGGATGTCCTTGCCTTGGCTAACTAGTGGATGCAACTCATCATCCTCACCACCAAATTTTGGTAACAGTTCTTTCTTCTCTTGCTTCTTGATATTGTGTGGTTGCTTGTTGGTTTGAGTGCCATCAAGGTCAGATAAGAAAGTGTCATTCAAATCAATATCAACAGAGGAATTCGTTTTGTCAAAGGCTTGAGTATGGTCTGCCTCCATTTCTCGTCTTCTGGCCATCGCTCTAGTCACAGCACAAGCTGGATAAATGTCATCATCTTCATGGTCGCACATGACATCTGGAGTGATTTTCTCACAAACTATAGGATCTGGTACAACTTTTCCACCAGCTAAATCGTTACCTAGCAACAAAGAAATGCCTGGAACGGGAAGAGTAGGTCGAACACCTACGATAACAGGTCCAGTAACTAAATCTGACTTCAAACTAATTCTATGCAGGGGAACATCAATGACGCCTAGCTCCACACCCTGTAATAAAACTGACCCACCAGTAGAAGTCTGCTCAGACAAAGGAGGCATGCCCTCTAACAATAACGTCTGTGCAGCACCAGTATCTCTCAAAATCTGGACAGGTTTTATTTCGCTAGAGTCACCGAGTGAAACAAATCCCTGAGACATAAAGGGCTTATAATCCTCCATAGAATCAATAGAACTGGACTGTGAACCCTGGACATCAGGAGTGTCAGAACAAATCGAAACTAAGGCTTCTCTATCACCTCTAACTGCCGCGCAAGCATGTGGTTGAGTTTTATCAAAGTCATTTTTTTCTCTTAAGTTTAAAGCATTCACTGATCAGATGACCTTTTTTCTTACAATAACTACAAGTAGGAAGCGACCCTATTCCAGAAGATCCTTCAAAACGTCCTGGACCGGACTTAGAACCACCTTGGGATGGAGACTGGGAACTTGTGAAAGACTGAGACCCTGAACCACTCTTTTTATATGTGTCTGAATTTGTAGAATTACTGCTAGTCTGAGATCTTGATACAAAATTCTTTTTATGAGACAGAGCATAAGTATCAGATATGACTGCTGCCTCTTCAAGAGTTTTCACATTCTTATCTTCTAGATGTGTTTTCAAATCTTGAGTAACACATTCCTTAAACTCTTCTACCAGGATGACTTGGCGCAAATTAGCAAAAGTTTTATCAAGTTTCTTAGATCTAAACCAGTGATCAAATAAATCTTCTTTCTCTCGTGAAAATTCAACAAATGTTTGATTATCAAACTTTCTATACTTTCTGAACTTTTGTCTATATGCTTCAGGTACTAATTCATATGCTTTTAATATTGCTGCTTTGACCTTCTCATAGTCTGAACTTTCAGCTACCCCTAGTGCAGAGTATACCTCAGCTGCTTTGCCAACCAGTACACTTTGTAACATTGTTGACCAAACGTGTTGTGGCCATTTAAGATTTTCTGCGACTTTCTCGAATTGGGGAAAATACTTGTATACAGATTTTTCTTGAAATTTCGGAACTAACCTAATATTTTTTGCTGCATCAAATTCATTCCTGACAAATGAGGGTTCTGAATTCTGCTGTAATCTTAATTTCTCTAACTCAAAGTGCTCTTGTCTTTCTAATTTGTCTAATTCAAATTTCCGTTCACGCTCTCGTTCTTCTCTTTCTCTTTCTCGTTCTTCCCTTTCTCTTTCTCGATCTTCTCTTTCTAATTTTTCTCTTTCTAATCGCATTTTCTCTAACTCTAATTGAAACTGATAGTCTGCCATTTTATAAGAGCCTAACTCTGATCTAACTGTATATTCTGGAAGTTCGTATTTTTCAAAGATGTTTTCATCTACAAGTTTGTTTGCAACCTTAATTCTAATGTCTTGCTTTCTCTGTGAGGATTTAACTTCTAACCCAAAATGCATACCTAATGCGATCAAGTCATCCTTTTTTAACGAATCAAAAACCTGAACACTTGGTGAACTTAGAAAGTCTGTGACCGAAAACACCATGTTGATTTCTGCTGGCTTATAATCAAATTTAACGGTTCAATAAACAAAATTTTGACAATAAACTGCAAAAGTGCAAAAAAAAATTCTTTATCCCGGACGAGCCCCCAATTCTGTTATGGGTGAGAATAACCCTAAATGCCAGCAAAGATCAATCACACAGTTTAAACTTAACAATAATTTATTTACAGTAATATACAAATCATTAAGTACAAACTTAGCAAAAATCTAAAAATACATACATCAGAGTGTCCGTTGCTGCACACAATGTCCCAGTGAAATTATATCCCAGTAATACGTACCTCAATGATGCTTGTAAGACAATCGTATCTATGCATCGAATTGACAGGATATTTATACAGTATCATCAATCTAGAATATTCTAGAAGTTGTAAGTACATGATATTACTGGAAAGTTCTGGACATACACAAAGTTCAAGAATGTTCTAGAAAATTACCTAACATATTGACCACTCTGGAATGTTCAAGAAACTTAATGTTACTAATAATATACATGATGAAATAATACAAATACAACACATCTCACAACAACACGGACTTATATTTAAAATAAAAATAAGTGACTGCAAGGTCAAATGGAAATTCAAGGTCATAATAACTTTTTCTTAAACTTAACCTAGCTTATTGAAATATGAAGCATTCCCCCACTTATTCCTCATACTGTATTTAATCTTGAAGCATAGTGGCACTTATTTCTGATACTTTAATTGTGAAACTGGACTCTTTTTACCTTATAATTCCAAATTCATCAAAGTAGCCTCCCCTTCCCTGGGTTCCGAATGGCTCCTTAAAGCTGATGACGACTGAGGCAATCCCATCTCTGTTCCACACAGGACTGAAGATCTTGTTAGCAAACCTACAAACAAACAGACAAAGCTATATAGCAAATCTACAAATAGACATAGCTACATAGCAAACCTACAAACAGACACATTTATTACATTGTACTTCGGAATTTAAATGTTTCACAAAATCTTAAAAATGAAATACTGAGAACTACTCACCTGAGCACCATGAGAACTCACCTGAGCACCATGAGAACTCACCTGAGCACCATAAGAACTCACCTGAGCACCATGAGAACTCACCTGAGCACCATGAGAAATCACCTGAGCACCATGATATACTGAAAACTACTCACCTTAGCACCATGAGATTCTGGACCATCTCCTTGCCGAGATAATGGTCAATCCTGTAGATTTCTTCCTCTTTGAAGAGAGCTGCCAGGTGATTGGACAGTTGATTAGAGCTGTCTAAATCCTTCCCGAACGGCTTCTCCACGACGACCCGCGTCCACTTATCTCTACAGGGTGATACAAAAACACAATTAATGATTCCAGTAGGACCTGCGTCCACTTATTTCTACAGGGTGATACAAAAATACAATTAATGATTCCACTAGGACCCATGTTCACTTATCTATAAAGGGTGAAACAAAAACACAATTAATGATTCCTCAATGACCTGCATCCACCTATCTCTACAGGGTGATATAAAAACATAATTAAACTATTCTGTAATGTACATATTCTACAGACTAAAACAAGGCATTCAGTTTCTGTTTAAACATTGTGGTTTACATACCCTTCAGACATACAGACGGCCTTGAGATTCAGTGTCACGGACTCGTAGACCGAGGGCGGCAGTGCGAGGTAGAAGATTCGGTTACAGCTGCCTTTATCTTTGATGGCTTTGTTCAGGCGGGAGAACCCCTCAGGTTTGTCGTAACTCCCGGCAATGTACTCATTGACCTTGAAGAATTCCTCCAACTTCTGCTTCTCATCATCCTTGACCTTCAAAAGATTGACCTTCAAATGAATCTCAAAAAATCATCTATTTTCCACGATATCAAAAAGATATTTTCATATTTTTTTTTTTACATTTGCATTTTTTTGGTGACAATGTTTTTACATGTACATGATGTATATGGATATCTTCAAAATTTGGTGTTGATCTATTATCATAGGCATAATTCAAATTGATGTTTTGTTTAATGTTGAGATGGTCATGAATAAAGAGGGATTTTTCTTGTAACAATTTAAGCATGTGAGAAGAAGAAGGGTTGCTGCCTAATCATGTTCATTTACAAAAGTCTGATTCTACGCATACTTGTGTTATTTTGACCTGACCATTGTGATGCCTAAATGTTTTAACCTTCATGAATGGCAGGGCTTTCTGTCGGATGTCGTCTACGGTCATCTTGCTGCGGGCATAGCCAATAAAGTAAGTTTCCTTTGGAACCAGTCCATCACGGTATAACCACCTGTCAGTGAGTTAAAAATAAACATTAGACAATTGGCCGAGTAGCCAGGATTTCATCCTGTAATATCCACATCATTAAATGTGAAGTGAAATAAAATAAGTATACTGTCATCTTAAAATTATAATACAGTGTATGTTTCAAATATAAAAAATTATTATTAAAATTATCATTAAAATCCGATTGTCTGTACTATGATATGCAAATCTTTACTGAAATACAGTGTTGTGATGCACTAATCTATAATAAATCCACTTAACTTACCATAGTGTTGGGTAAATTTTCTTCTTGGCCAAGTCTCCCTGTAATAAAGACAGAAAATTTAATAACACATTATATGATGACAACAGTTTCTGTTAAAACATAAAATCTGGAGAGAGATGACTATACTGCTATTCGGCAGAATTGTAAAGTTTCTATTTGTCATGACATTTTGTGTATACAGTTACTTTGTATAAGTACTTCTTTTTTGTATTTCCCAAGAGCGGACTGTCATTATTCCAGCCTTTACTGAAATTATTTTCAATTTTCAAAGTTCTGTTTTGGAGACTTCTGAGTCTTAATAACTTCAAATTTTATTTTTTCATGAAGAAGCAATAGTGAATACAATGTCTTTTTAAATCATACAATCTATGAAATCTTCCCCCCAAACCCCCAAGCAAATTCAATTTAATGATCAGAACAGAATTGTTTGGTGTTTTTTTTTTTTTTTTTTTTTTTTGGGGGGGGGGGGGTTCAGAAAAAATAAGATTACAAATACAGTGTATCTATAGCCAGCCCTATAAATCAAGTATAATTTTCTGATGACTGATGAGTTTTTTATCTGTAGATCTGGTAAAGAGTTGATTTTCCTGTTGTTTAATTTGAATTTTATTTGATACATGACATTTTGTTTGATTGATTCACTGGAAAACAATTGTCAATACTTAAACATCTTTTGTTGTTTGTACAGAAATAAATTCAGCACCTGTTGCTGAAAACATCTATAACCTACGTAATAGCTGCACCATTAAGTCCCCTAGTTACAGCAAAAGAAAGATGTTTTATTGATTATTCTTATATCTGTTAAAAAAACCATCTAGGTAATGTAGGATAACTTAGATTAAGTATTGTATTACTGATATGTACATCATTATTAAATTTAATTGGTTTCAATAGAACAGCTGTGCACTGCTCAAGAAATCAGTTAGGACATGATAGCTAGACCAATCAGCAGGGGATGCTCACTCCTCCATGGCACCTGATCCCACCCATGATGTTTTCGAGATCCGCATGTTTGCTCTGCTCCCATTTTGTATTATTTTATGAACTTCAGCTTAAAATTCTGTTCATTATCTCCATTAATAATGTTACATGTTTTAAATTAACAGAATTAAATGATATAGTATAAACAACACATCTTTTACTGATACAGAAATTTAAAATTTAACATGGACTTTAAAGAGTACTTGAACATAATGAGGAGATAGGTAGTGGTGATATACATTGTGCTTACTTCCTTCTGAGTCAGTGTGTATTTTACCAGGGTCCCGGGCGAGAGATCGTAAACACTGAATCAGACAAGAATCACTTCCTTGTCAGTCAGATCAGATACATTCATCTCACAGCGGATCTACACACTTAGGTACTACTTACACAACAAACAGATAAACTCACCAGATAGAAAATCAAAGATCAGAATTCGTTTTCACTTTAAAAGAAATGGCTAGACTTGAAAGAAATATACTGATGTCAATTTGAAATAATTTTACAGTATCATGGACACTAACAATTAAAATATTACCTGTATTTGGGGTTTTTGTATAAATTCATTTAATTTTTTTATTTTAGAACAGAACAAGCCCTTTTCTTTTCTTTTTTTTTTTGGGGGGGGGGGTGGGGGTGGGGGTGGGGAGGGGGGGTTACTTTTTGTAAAATGTTTGTCGGAAAGAATCACTTTTCTCTCTATATAATCTACCTGACGAGTACTCTTATTTCGTGTAGAAAGCATGACTCATCACTCAGTGACCAAGTTAAAATGGGGTGTAAGTACAAAAATTTCTGTACCTGACCATGCTGACTGCATGGGTATCACATTTTATAACATGCAATGATAAAAGTAATTCATAATATAAAGTGTACACGTCAGGTGTAAGCTAATTTTCTCCAGGTATTTGATACCTAATATCTCCTAGTCTAGCATTGCTGGCCCATTGTGACGGGTCCTTGACTTTAGATTAGGGTCAGGAACACTAAATCTTCAGACCAATTACCTGACAAAATATTTAATGTAATATTAGGAGCAGGTAGAAGGATGGGGACTGATAAAGGAGGACAAATGGCTGGGCAGAAACCCCACCCAAACTCTTGTAGATCCTTCCAAAACGTACACATAGCTCATAGTTAAAATGGTAATCTTTGTTATGGTAATCAGCTTGAATCAGAGTAAATTGTGTATGATGAATGGGTGGATCCAGGAATTTTTACAATAATAAGGTGATCACTGGCTTGTGAGTAGTGGATAGGAAAAAACTTTTAATTATTATAGACCTATACAACTAAATTTCGAATCAATTGGAAAATAATTTGATCCATTATATCAGACGTGCTAGCTGTTCTCTTCACTCTGCTTTTTTAATTAATCAAATGGGATATATCACTAATATACCATTGGCGTCGGAAGCAAATTGAAACTGTACCTCAAAAAAAACCTGACAAGCAAAAAAAAAAAGAAAAAAGAAAAAAGGAAATGTCTATTTCCCAAACAAGAAAATCCTATTTCGTTGGGGGGGGGGGGGGGGGGGGGGGGTGTTAGGTTCGAACTCCAGTACCAAAAATTTTCTTCCAAACATCACCACTTTCCCCATTTTTAATCTATACCATGTATACTAAGACGTGTCTGTGGAAAGTGGGCTAAACTTACGAAGATATGTTCAATGTCTATACTAAGTATATATTTGAAAAAAAAGTGGGGGGCTAAGCCCCCCATAGCCCCCCCTGGTTTAATCAAATAGAGATATCGCCTATGTATACAAAAAATGTCAACAACTAGCTCTCCCCCCCCCCCTCTCTCTCTCTCTCTGGCTAGATCTACCAGTAAAATTAAAGACCCTTGAATGGGACTTCCTGATTCAACAAAAGAGCATCAAGATATAAACATGCAAATTTACTTTGTCTGAATACACTAAAGGTTGGGAATAAATCTGTAATAAAAATCTTTAAAATTTGACTGATGTCGGTGTCAGATTGTGTTAATTCACTAAATGAATAAAACATGTAGTGACAATGTAAACAATCTCTTTATCGGTAAAAAATTAGGACATTGATTCAAACATCGATTTAAGCCATTTGCAAAATAAAAAAAAAAATGCAAAGTGTTTGTCACTAGCTGATAAAAATATCTGACAATCGCTTTCAATGCACTCTATTTAGCATAACACCTTGTGTAAATAGTATATGCACTGAATATCAGTGTGTCATGCCCTATGGATATACACTATGCACGTGCATGTCAGCGCGCGTTTGACAGTGTGCAGACTTACCGAGGCCCCTAGTATGACAAACACGTGCGATGCCCCCGTGCCCTCATATCTCAGACTCTCCCTCAATAACGACAGGGCGTCCAATTCCCCTCGCTCTGACATTCTTGTCTGCCTGCTGCCGAATACAGGAAGTGACCCGTGTTCTCCACTCAACCGGAAAAGGGGCGTGTCTTTTCCCACATTAGCATGTTTCAGTTTGTATTCCCTATACATGACGATCTTTCAGCAATAATTATTCACAAACTCTGTTGCAAGCTACTATATCCGATAGCTTATGCCGACTACTGACATGTTCGCGAAGAAAATGAAATATTTTCCGAGCTCTAAATATTATAATACAAAATCAATAGTGATTATAGTTTATCCACTGTTATAGTTAATGATTTTCCCCATGTCACGAAAACGTGTTTCAACTTTTTTTTTTTTTTTTAAATCCAGACATGTATTCATTATTTACTGAAATTCATTGTGATAGGTAAAGTTAATTAATTAATTATAATTAATGATCATCTGTATTGTAATGATGTCACTAGGAATAATAACAGCCAAGTGATCTGAAGTAGCATCTTTTTTGAAAGTAGGGGGGGGGGCAGAAATTTTTTTTTCTTAAGTGAAAAAGTTGACAAGCAAAAAAAAAGGGGGGGGGGGAGTTGCCAAAAGACGAAAACGAAAATCCTATTTCGGGGGGGGGGGGATAGTCTAAGTAATATCGGGCAAAAAGAAAAAGGGGGGAGGCTGTTGCTACGTGCCTGTATAAAAAAAAAAATTCATTTAAAAAGCTCAGAGAAAAATTAAATTGATATTTGGAAAAAAATTTTTTAACATTGTATGAATTTCTGACCTTGACCTTTTGACTTGAAAATATTCAGACACTAGGAGTTATAATTTCAATAGAAAAGCTTATTTGGAAACCCTACCTTGACCTTTGACCTCAATCAATAGAGCCTTTTTAGGCCAAAAGCAGCAAGCAAACTCAAGGAAAACAATTTTTTTTTTGGCATGAATGAATTTAAGACCTTGACCTTTAGAACTCACAATCCAAAGGGAGATTTAATATAAAATTTCAAAGCAAAAGCCTAGACACTTTCCAGATATATCACCATGAAACAAAAGTGTTAAGAATAAACCAAATGACAAACCCCAAGTTAAGGACATTTGCAAGGTTCCTGGTTATTGTACAGAATTTTTCAAGAACACTTGAGTAGGGGGACAAAAAGCCAAAACAAGGCCAAAATAAAATTATTGTTTGTTTGGAATTGCCTCCTGCCTCATTGAAATGCCCCCTCCTGAAAAAAATTTACTGACCAAAAGTAGGAAGATTTTATTGTCAGTTATCACATGCACAATACAAAACACTGAAATGTAGTGTCAGATCTATGCAAAATTAAGTTTTTTTGTCGATGGTCGATGTTTTTCTCAAAAAGTTAGAAAATGTTTTTACTGAGAGTTTTATGAAAAATTTAAAATTTATCTTCAGTTTGGAAAAAAAAATTTCCTTCCCTCCCTCCTGTGTCTGAAACCCTCCTGGCGGCAATTCCAAACAAACAATTTTTTAAGGTGGCCTAAGTCTCTAATTAGACTTTACCTCTACAGGTAAAATGGAAAACTTGTTTGATGTATACAAAGACAGAAAAAATTGAACATTTACTAACTTTATTTGGAGTTATACAATGTCATGTAAACAATCTCCTGAGAATGATTTGTCAGGAAGGGTACAGTAGCATTTCTAATTAATCAAACAAATTATTCTTTATTGAGTAACCCCGGCAACAAAATTTCTAATAAAACTAAGTTTCTGCCCAATTAACCTAATTAATTAAACAATTTATCTATATAACAATGGTGACAGTTGCCTGGTTCACAATCAGTTGCAAAATTTTTTACTTTTGACTTAAAATTTTTATTAAATTTTTTTTTTATATAACTCTTAACATGGAGAACTCTTATATACACGATCAAATAAGTCGATTACAAAACTGGACACGATCTATGTCATATTAGCACTCATCACTGACTTTGAAAAAAAGCTGTGTTCAAGTCAAACTGGAAGTAAAATTCATGACTTCTTAAAAATCGGGTTCACTGAAGTGTTCTATCTAAATTTCAACAACAACTAACAAAAAATAATCACGAGAGATTTTTCAAGGTTTAACATTTGTAATTTTTTTTAAGTTACTTATATATCCGATATGTTCACATATTACCAAATAATTTTTGAAGTAAGATTAATAATCCTTTAGAGAGTGGGACAACTTAACACAGCATGCATTAGGAGATATATTCAATGGCTCAATTGCTATGTCCATATATATGGTATTCAATGGCTCAATTTCTATTTTCATTTGAATGTCTCAACTGCTATGTCCATTTGAGGTCAAAATCACTGCTCCAATATAACAGTTTCTTGCTCCATAAAATCCCCCACTATAGGGTACAGTAACAACATCCCGTAAGTATCGGCCTCACTTTCAGCTTAACGAACATTGACCTAGTTCTCAGGTTCTTTTATCTGCCTCACTTTCAGCTCTACAAACATTGACCTAGTTCTCAGGTTCCCGCGACTAACTGAATCATTGTCTCCAGGGCTCTCTCAATTCCGTAGGAATCCAACATCTTTTGGAACACCTCTGGAGCTTTCTTCATCACATTGTCCTTGTCTGCTTCTAGCACTTAAACAAAAATATAACAATAGAAAATCACAGATCTGTTTAATTCTGATGAAATACGGCAGAGTCAAGAAAATATTGTTTTTCACAATGATACTTGGGTTGTTTGAAATTCAATTTAAACAATCATCTAATTTACGTGCATGCAGAAATAAGTTTTTACCATTAAAACAATTCTTCTTCTCACATTTTGGGATGTAAAACAACATACAATCAATCAATCTACTCACATTTTTTATGGATGATGACCTCTAACCTCAACTCAGGGTGAAATTGACACAAAGGGTCAACTGTAAATGACCAACACACACAGAGGGATGGGCTGGAAAAAAAAATAGAATCCTGGTTAACTTGCTCTCCTTTTATAACATTACTACATGTAGTATGTTCCTCTTTGGTGAAATTCCTGCAAGTCTTTTGGACTCTATCGATCAGCTTAATTTTTTAATTCATAAAATGAATACAGTTCACAAACATCCCAGCCTCCATCATAATAATAATTCCCATTTGTTGTGACAGTCGACTAATGAATACATTATAAGCAACAAACCTGAGGTCATCACTTTGTGTGTCTTACCTATTAGGAATATGTGGACTTTGGAGCACTAATATTGATGAGTCATCAGAGTGTGTGTCTTACCTATTAGGAATATGTGGACTTTGGAGCACTTTTGGAGCACTATTGATGCTTCATCAGAATTAGGGAATAAATATCATCTAATTTGGTATTTGCGACCGTTTATGCTGATTTACAGTCGCAAATTGAGTTTTACTGGCGATGTGTAAGCTGAGCCAGTAAAACGGATGTTTGCGACCGTTAAATCAGCATTAACGGTAGCAAATAAAAACTAAAAAATTTGTTATTCCCATTATAATGCAATGCATGCATTTTATTTGTTGTTTATGCAGGGTTTGACATTAAGCTTTTGGAATACTAGACCAGTCGGGCTACTCTGGCAAATTTTTACAAGCCCTTACCCTTTAACCACTAGCCCTGACCAAACTTGAGAAAACATAATTAAAGTACAAAAAAGTGATAATTGTTTTTTTCTGTGCAGATGATGAGAATCCACATTGAATTAACAACATTTTCCCGCACACGTCACATTGAAACTCGGTCATATTCATGTGGCTTGTCGTGTTTAGTCCTAGTTTACTCAATTTGTATGTACAATATTACTCGATGCCATTAAAAATGTTCAGAGAATTTAAGTTTAGCAAGAATAATTTTATTATTATAGTTCATTGTAATTTACATGATTACAAATGTCCTAAACGTGAATCTTTTGACAAAGACAATCGTAACTACTAAGCCATTTACGTAAACCATAAAAAGCTCATTGTTTCTCTCTAGGAAAATGGCAGAGTAGTTACGAATGTCCAATACATACATGTATGAACTGATAGCACTTCAGTCATGCTGTTTGTAACATATGTGGTTTTCTTTGTACTCTGCGGTTAGAAACGTTTTATTTTTTCAACGGCAATAAACATGATAATTAATTTATTTAAAAATATATAATAAGTTCCTTTATTTTCTTACACGACCAGTCGGTCTAGTACACAGACATTTTACCCGACCGCACCTATCTTTTACTAGACTCAGTCGGTCGGACGTGCCTTAATGTCAAACCCTGGTTTATGTCTTATTTTGTTGAATTTGTTACATGAAATACTTCACGGAGCATTGTGTTTTTGCGTCGCTCTATTATGATGTCACAATGAAAAAGCTTCAACACTTGTTAAGGCTCATTTTACATCAGTGCATTAGCCAATCAAAAAGTGTTTTACAAAGCAATTGCATTAGAATGTGTGTTTTACCTATTAGGAATATGTGGACTTTGGAGCACTAATATTGATGAGTCATCAGAGTCTGTGGACACTGTGTCTGGATATTTTTCTGTGAAGTGTTGGAATGTTTCTTGCCGTTGTAAACTCCATCTAGAATACTGCTCCATCAGAGAGAAAAAAGGAGCCAGTGCATTGTTGTCACTCAGCCTGAGATTCAACAGTGAAAAAAAATTACCAAACATCTTCATACATACATGTAGGAACTAGAAAGAATACTGTACATTCCTAATTATATGTGAGGAATTAATTTCAGCGTAATTTCGCGAGAGGCATAACTCACGAAACAATATTACTCGCTTTTATTTTTAAGGTGCTGAAATCCATTTAAATTCTATTGATCAATTGCCCATTTGTGAATTATTGTTCTCGCGACTTGACATTAACAAGCTAGTACATTATAAAAAGTACTCGCCAAAAATAAGGAATCTACAGTAAATATCCCATACTCCATAGTATAAAATGAAAAGAAAGTCATAAAACAAACTATCTACTTATCTCTGACCCCAGGCTGATGGTATACCTCCCATAAAATTTAACTGATATTCAATAAACACAGTGTTTGTTGTTTTTACTTACTGAAGTAATGGCTGGTGAAGTTTCTGTAAAACGTCATCTCCCACCGACAGAGCCAGGTTCTCAATGGTCACATGACCTTCTTCCTGAAAAAATACCCCAAAATAACCCTCTCCTTAACAAAATTAAATATTACTGAGACGCCCACTACAGACAGACTAACCTTCATCTATTTATCAATCACTGTTTCTTATCTCTCAAATTGTAAGATAAGTAGATTGTGATTTATGGCAAAGTGCTTGTCATACAAGCATAAGGTTTCTTACAAGTTGACCTTAAAATCGACTTTTGATCTAATACTATTTATATCGTCAAATACTTCTGTTTTGAATCATGAAAAGTGAATCTTTTTCTTTTTTGCATGTCCACTGTTTGTCACTATCATGTTTTAAATTATAAGAATTACAGAAGTTTATGACCTTGACCAATATTACTAGGAATTACTGTACAGAAGTTTGTGAGCTAGATGCTGGACCTTCTTAAACAAAATTTTTTTTTGCCAAATATGTGGAAAAAAAAGGTCAGATGCAGAATCTGAAACAAGTACAGTACAAGCCGTTTTATTTAATACCTGTTTTATATCATAGGCCGTTTTTTATCATAGATATTTAAAACACAAAACCATTTCTTAATAATTCAATGTTAATTTCTTACGTTATTATCATAGGTAAAAGTGTTTACTTCGGTTACTATCATAGAAAAATTTCGTCCGTAATATTTTTTTCACACCTTTTTCACTCTGGAGACAATTAACAAAACAAAAGATAACACCTGTCAACACCTGTGGCCCATGCACTGTCGCTTATCTATACACAATGGCTTGACTGAGGGGGATTAGTCACACTCCAGTGATTTACCTGAGCGATGACTGGAAGTTTGTTTATTTCACAAAGTACATTACACAACAACAGGAAGCCATCCGCAATCCTATTTTCTTCTTTTGTTCAATTGTTTAATTGTACTTTGATAATAAATGTGTTTTACCAAAATGTGTTGAATCTAAATTAAGTGTCAATGTACCCAAGCTATCTTACGCTTGTTGCCTGATCAATGGTCATAATCATTTATAAATTGTCCAATTTATTCAGCAGTTATGTGAAATTAACTTTTTAACCAGCCTGTTCAAGCGGCTTTGATTTACATCAGTGTATCAATTAATTTAATTTCAATTAAACGGCACCATTAAGTGTAATTAGCGCTTGGGTGCAAGGAAGAAAATAATTGGGCTTGTGTTTTAGATGAATTTTCCCTGACACTAAATACCTTGAAGTTTGAAAAAGAATGAGAAAGAATTAAACAATTTTAATTCATGTTCTGTTATGTTGTAACATAATTTTGATACCGTAAATATTGTGTAGTTGGTAAGCAAGTTGTGTAATGCTGAAATGTTGAACTAACATTTTTGTAACTAAATGTTTTTTTCGTTTGTACGTTTTTATATACTGTTTATAGATATTTTCTCTTTTTGTTTTGTGTTTCATTAAAACTGCAATGTTAAAAAAACAAACGAATTATAAATAGATTGAATTGATCAAAGAACCTAAAAACGAAAGTAGATCAAAATGAAAGTTAACAGGAGATGGATGCCAAGACATCTAGAAGATTGAGTTCGGAGATTATTAAGCTTTAGGAAAGTGAATTTATTTATACAAAATGTTGAAACAGTAAGTAAAAAAAGTAAAAAAAGTAAAATGATATGTTAGCTAACTTGTTTTTCAAAATAAACCTAAAAATATGAAATTATTAATACTATAATACTTATTTAATATAGTGTAAAAACGGCAGGCATGTTATTGATCAAGTCATGTTCATGTCAGACCTCGGAGATGAATTTCAGCTGTCTATGGTTATAATCATAGTCGGTTATTATAAAGTTTTGGCCTGACAAATAAGCTATGATAATAAACGGCTTGTACTGTACATGTATTTAATAATTTTGTATCTTCAAATTGGATAATCCAAAATCTCTGCAAGTTTGGTCCAACTTGGGCTAACCTTCACTTGGCAAATAGACCTGGCCTTGGGGCCATAAAACTTAGACAAGCTCACTTTTGATTTCAGTCTCACTTTTACCAAAGGAATATATAGCAGAAAAGTGAGAATGAGATCAAAAGTGAGCTCCTCTCAGTTTTATGGCCCCCACGTCTGCTCCAGGAATTTTAAGCATTGGTCCACATCGATGCCAATGTCAGGTAGAACAGAAGCTCACCTTAACTTAGGTCAGTTAAAAAGGAGATAAGAAAACCAACTTTTGTTTGCAACGACTTTATTTTGCGATTTATTGGGGGCAAACTAGTTTGCGAAATTCAAAAATAATGTTCACAATCAAGATTTTTAATTCTGTTGTTGATAGACAAAGAAACTTTAAGGTCCGGTTCTTGGCGAGAAATAATATTCACGATGAAGAAGCTAACGTGAACCTCGCTGACGCATGTGAAACAAAGTTGTTTTACAGTAACCCAACTTACCTCTGTCTTTATAGCCTCAAACTGAACACTGAATTCATTTCCGAGGACACTCCCTTCTATACTGTAGCTAGTCTGTCTCTCTGTAAGTATGAACAGAAAAAATTGGAATTCATAATGAAAAACACTTTGTCATATTTATTTTCCTAAAGAAGCACTAAAAAGTACTGTAGATCACTTCATTTTTTCGGGAGATAGTCATAGACTTTTTATCATTTTTTAAATTTTTACCCTAAATATCAGAGTAAGTGGTTTAATGCATGATTACAGAGAGAATGCAAGCCAAGAATAAACTTACAACTGGATTTAACCAGTAATAATTTCTTCTGTAGTTTTACACTAAAATACTTGCATGCCATGGACTTTTATGTACATTCTATTAATTTACAAACCCATGGCTCCTTACTGCAACATTCACTTGTTCTCATAAATATCAATAATATTTAAAAGGGACATTCAAGCAATGACATTTCTGTTTGATTGCCAATCATAAAAATACTTTCTATGGAAGTATTGTAGATCACTTAATTTTCGCGAGGTAGTCATTGACTCTTTATAAGCATGATAAGCAGACAAAATTTTCACAAATTGTGGTCTTTGCTCTATATAATCTGAAGAAATACTATTATACCCGAGAATGAAATTTTCATGAGCATATCATCTTGCTTAATTACGAGAAAATAAAGTTCTCGCGAGTAGTGTTGTCACGATGATCGATTTATAATCGATGATTGGTCGGAAAGGCTGTCGATTTTAGACAATCGATTGGAGATTTTAACAATCGATTAATCGGTATATTTCAGTACATATCTTTTTTATAGTTTTCTCACTTCTATTTCAAGAACAGGCTCTCGTAATTAAAATATATATCTTCCAAGTGTTGTCCTTTACTACCTATTTTGAAATACATACTTAAAATCTGTTTTAAAAAAATCAGATAATAATAATAGTATTTCTAAACTAAAGAAACTAAACTACATGTAGTTGTATAAATGAAATATATTAGTTTTCAGTATTTGGGGGAATTCACTTTTCATTTCATGCTTAATCACAAGGATTTGCAATATTAAATGTCTTTTAACAGTTTAAAAATTAATTTAATATACTAGTAAATTTTAGTAATCATGTAAATTAAAACCTGATCTAGCAATGCTTATGTTTCCAAGGCCAAGTAATTCCTAATCATGCAAAAGTCTGTATTACTGAAATTTTTTATCAAACTGCATATGTACTGTTTTTAGAATTTCGATCTGTACAATGCACCTTTACTTACATTATTTAAATATAAAATTATAATTTTTTAATGAAATATAATACCTATTTTATGTAAAGGATTACAAATTCGATTATTGGCCGATGATCAGTTGGTTAGGGTCAACCGATGCTACCGATTAATCGATTCTGATTTTCAACCGATTTGACAACACTACTCGCGAGTAAAAAGTGATTTACTGTACCGGGTACCAAGAGTTCTAAACTTGGTGTTAAATTCTTCCTCTGTTTAATTAACTAATTTACACAGAAATGATACCTTCACCGATTTCCTGTTTTCTGTATTTTTCTATGGACAAACCAG